AACCATGAGAGAACACGAAGAAGGAACACAGAAACAATAATAAAAAGACCCTTGAGAAGCACTCCACTTCAACTCAGAACCTGACAAAGAAAACCTCCTATGACCAAGCATAGTTCTTCGATCAATGCAGAATAGAGAAGAGCACCACATCCTAACAACTACCACCAGCGTCGTTGTTACTTCCATTGTTAAAACAAAGACAAAACATCAGCCACCAGGTATCACAATTTTCCCAATGAGAGACACAATCCAGCATCACTACTGTCACCGCAGCTAAGACAAAGACAACACCAGTCACCTAGAACACTGCAAAAACAACCAAATAAAATAAATAGGCCTAGATCCAAACAAATCTGGAATATCTAGGGAGGGGAAGGGGATGAGAACATTGGATAAAAGGAAAGGAAAAGATGGGAATGTCAGAGTGTCTGACACACGGACATGGCTTGGACACGGGTCAACAGTAAAGACACGTTTTGGACACGTTCAAGACACTTTTGGACACAGTCAACTAAAATCAAGACACGATAGGGACCATTTTGGAAATTTTAAAACAAAAACTGGGGTCACAACATAATTATTGAAACATTTGTGGCATATTTGAAATAGTTTTAAAAGTTGGCTTTTCTTCTCTCCCAGCCAGCCACATCTTTCATAAAAAAAAAAAAAAAAAAAAAAAAAAAAAACAAGCTTTCTTCTTCTCCCTTTCCACATATTATTTCTTCTCATCTTATTTTAAATTACTTGAAGTTGAAACATCAATAAATGCTTACGAACTGTTGTAGGTGAAGGCAAGGGTCTGATTTTATTTTATTTATTTATTTATTTCTCAGTTTTATCATATTTCTGGCGTCAATTTTTTGTTTAAATATCTTTTTTCTTTCTTTCTTTGTTCCTTTGTAGCATATCTTTTTTTTTTTGTCCTTTTTTTTATGCTAAGTCGATTCTTATTTATGAGGTGGGAATTGTTTTATGTGTGAATAAATATGTGTATAGTGCTTTATTTTGTTTAGGGAAAGATGAGTAATGCTAATTCAAATGAGACCTCCTCTCATGCTCAATCATATTTTGTGGTGCATTAATTATTATGTATAAATGATGAATATGAGTACTTTGTTTTGTTTTATTGTATTATGACATTGAAGTATTGAGTATGAATTATTTTTTAATATAATTTTATTAGAATTTATTATTATTTTAATTGTCGTGTCCTAGCCGTGTCCATATCCTAATTTTTTGAGATTTTCCATGTCGCTGTGTCCCATGTCCGTGTCCTTAGCTCCATATATCCCCAACTCTTATACACTCCCTCCCCAATGCCCATGATGCTGCCTCTCTCCACTGCAACAATCAAACCATGACAACCACATGGCTGTTGCTGCACACATGGATTTGAAAATGAAAGCTTGTGTTTGAACGGAAGCTTTATTGGGCTTGTTGACAACATAAGTGAGAATACGCTAAACTCTCCCAATCCAAGAACACTGCTATTCGCCCTAGGCACACTGGGTACTCATAAACTGTCCCACAAAATGTAATATCATACATAATATAATGCTCATGAAATTTAATTAAATCAATCTCTGTAAAAGCCACCCCACCCCACCCCCAAAAGAAAACCCCTACCTTGACACAAATTTTTTTGCAAGAATTGTAAGATTACTCCCTAATTTTCACCGCATTACTTGAACTCTCTTTCCAGTATTTCCCTCCCTTTCTTTCTCTCTTATTTTTCATGATGCCATGCGTTTCAAAATGAAACAATTGCACTCCTATTTATACTAAAGGAATGTCGGCTACTACTTCATTCTCATTGGATGATATAATTGACAGCTACTAAAAGATAATAACATATATACTTATTGTCCAAGCAAAACCTAAAGGATAATAACATAATATACTTGAGTTTTAGTTTTTAGTCAAAATAAATTGGAGCTGATTTTGTTATGGGGTTTGTTGCCTCTTGCTCTACATGCTCTGGAAATTCAAAATACAGAGAAATAGAAGAAAGATAAGATCTGAAAAAATTAAAAATTTTAAAAAAATTATAAGAGAAAAGAGAGTAATACTCAAAAACAGTTTTGCAAGTGCAAGATATATATATATATATATATATATATAACTAAACAAAGAAGAGAAAAGAATAGATGGTAATGGTCGTGGTGGTGGGAGTTTTTATTAATAATAGTCAAATTTAACTCCCAATTTCATAAATGTCAGTTTTGTAAAAAAACTTTAAAAATTAACCAAAAATCCACTTAAACAAACCTAAATGCCCTTGTTTTAACTCTGATTTATGCTTAGTACTTGTCTACGAACTCGTGAGCTAGAGCTCTACACAATGGAGTGAAGAAAATTTTGAAAACAAGTCTCGAACAAAAAGTTTACCCTAAACCACTTTGAAACCCTAAGGCTAAAATTGCCCTTGCACTTTAAAATTTCGAAGATTAAAATAAATTCAGGACGGGATGTTATATGTAATATTTGACTTAGAATAATTGAGTATGTATTTACATTGTGGGTTCGAAACAGTGTGTTTGTATAAAAAAAAAAAAAAAAAAAAAAAAAAAAAAAAAAAAAAAAATTCAAGGTTTGTTTTTAAGGTTTCGAGCTTCATGTCCCGGATCAATTTGTGACGTGACAAGAAAATTGGTATTGAATTACTGAAGCTATTAAGTAGTAGACAGAACAAGCAATGACAGTGGAGCTTTCTGGCTGTTCGCTATCAATCAACAAATTCCTAATTTATTGGTATTTCATTTGCTTCTATCTATCTCTTTGAGGAAATACAACCCAAACTAGCTAGTATTAAAAAACAATTGAGATTATAGAATAGCACGCTAATAGCCTAGCACCAACAAAATATGGGTTGATATAAAAATTTAGTTGCAACGTGAATTTTATGTTGACACATACTTTGGAAACCCCTTATATTTTTATCTTCTAGTTTTTGGTCAATGGAAACAGGCTTGAATATCTGATTTTATGTTCAAATGTGTTGGTAGTAAATTTAAGGAATTGGTCCATATTATGAACCCAAAATTACCAACATCCAAACTTGTACTCTACACGTGCAACAAAAGAATCCATTCAAACTTGAACAGTTTGGAGAAACATGCACTAATACAGAGACCAACAGTGCAATAAAAGAATCCATTCAAGTTTTTTTCTCCAAAAAATACAAAGATATCTCGTTCACATCCCTGCAGCTACTTCAGGTGCCCGGAATTCATGTATTCTTTGGTAGAGGGGAGTCGAGGTGGAATTATTCTACTAAAGCCTGGCTTAAAGTTAGCTCCCAATTGTTGGAAACATGACCAACATACATAGGCTTTGTCATCCAACATGGGTCTCTACTTCCTTCCTATACTCGTTATTCCCTGGTTGACTTTGTCATCCTACTTAAGTTCATAATCCTCGCACTCACTGAGTCATAATAATAATAAAAAAACCATATATATTAATTAAGGGCACTGTAACATACAAAATATAACAGAATCCCAACATACAAATTAACATTATTGATTAAAACACAAGATACTTGAAGGAAACTTACGGCGTGAAGCAGTTTATAAACTCAAACCAACGACAACCCTCCATGTCCAGCGGAAAAACAGTTGAATGTAAGGTCTTTATCATATGTCCCCCTCCTCCAACAACAATTTGAAACATAGTGATACATACATATTGTACCTGGCCATTTGAATCGCAAGGGCCAATCTTGACATGAAAAAAGTCCTGGTTCCCTAAATGAATCAAAAACTGTTTCTTTACGCGACAAAATGCAAATGGCGGCTGTTCAATCTGCATGCCACACAATACAAACTGTTTTATTAGTGAGTATTCAATATCACCGCCATCACTTTCAACCATCTCAAAGGAGAATGCTACAATCTCCTCCTCCTGAGGCATACTTATGGCATAGATAGACTTGTCTACAACCACAGCCCTTTCTTGGAAAGGAGCATCACAAGAATCAACGTTCACTTTATTCCATTCCTTTCCCTTTCTAGTCTCGTGAAAAGCAACGACATCGTAACAGTCGTCCATAGCATACAAGCAAAAATAATAACACCACAACAAACAGCATAACCAATTATACACATACGAGATTTATAGTCATTGTAAAAGTGTAGGAATGTTATTATTGATAATGTTGATTGGGCTAAAAGGCACTATTTTCCAAAAATTTTAGTTATGATACACTTTGAATTGTAGTTTAACTATTTTTGTGTGTGATATATTCGTGATGTTGTAAGAATGTTATCATTGATGCTCTATTTTGAAATTAAGATTTGAACAAACTTTTTGTTGTTCTTTTTTTCCTTTTATTATATCGTTAATGTTGCTCGCTAAAAACAATCAAAAGGTAAACCAACAAAATTGTAGATTAAGAAACCTCTTAGCGAGCAACGTTAACAATATAGGAAACGGAAAAAAAGAACAAAATTCAAATCTTCATTTCAGAATAGAACATCAATGGTAACATTCTTGTGAAATCATAGATGCATCACACACAAAAATAGTTAAATCTACTTTGCACTTAGTTAGCAAATGCTAGACCTTTTTCATCCTTAAAAAGGCTAACACATGGCACATGGAATCCCAAGAAATCCAAACCCTTTATTGCTGCAATACGCTTGATCGACATATTTATTATGTGTTGTAACTACATGGTTGCGTTCTTCCATGGTTGTAACTACATTCATGGGGGATTATGGTTGGTGTGTTATAATCGTTTTAGGCGTCTTCTATTGAATTGGTTATATAATTTTGCAGCATTCAAATTTAAAGATTCGGCTATGATCACCATTAAAATCTCTAAAAGTGGTTGTTTGTGCATATTTTGGCGTGAGAATACAAGGTATGAGGCAACTTGTCCTAGATTTATTAAAGTATTGATTCAACTTGTCAAAGTTCCAATTGCCCATATCTAAGTGTCTTTAGTGTCATTTATTTATTTGTATGTGGTATGTGATTTTATGTTTTTTTTTAATAGTCTATTGTTGGAAGCAATCAAAATCATGCATGAGGTTAATAGTTTTCATGGTGCTCTTAATGTAAGAGGAAGCTATGTACTTTAGATTATCCAATGGAAAAACAAGGAGTTGTAGCTAAAACAAAATAAAATTTACAAACAAGATTTTAAAAATGATTTGAGAATATTGATTGATTACATGAATCAAAAAGAAGGATCCACTTCATATAATTAATAACTTCATTAAACTTACGGCGTGAAGCAGTTTATAAGCTCAAACCAACGACAACCCTCCATGTCCAGCGGAAAAACAGTTGAATGTAAGGTCTTTATCATATGTCCCCCTCCTCCAACAACAATTTGAAACATAGTGATACATACATATTGTACCTGGCCATTTGAATCGCAAGGGCCAATCTTGACATGAAAAAAGTCCTGGTTCCCTAAATGAATCAAAAACTGTTTCTTTACGCGACAAAATGCAAATGGCGGCTGTTCAATCTGCATGCCACACAATACAAACTGTTTTATTAGTGAGTATTCAATATCACCGCCATCACTTTCAACCATCTCAAAGGAGAATGCTACAATCTCCTCCTCCTGAGGCATACTTATGACATAGATAGACTTGTCTACAACCACAGCCCTTTCTTGGAAAGGAGCATCACAAGAATCAACGTTCACTTTATTCCATTCCTTTCCCTTTCTAGTCTCGTGAAAAGCAACGACATCGTAACAGTCGTCCATAGCATACAAGCAAAAAATAATAACACCATAACAAACAGCATAACCAATTATACACATACGAGATTTATAGTCATTGTAAAAGTGTAGGAATGTTATTATTGATAATGTTGATTGGGCTAAAATGCACTATTTTCCAAAAAATTTAGTTATGATACACTTTGAATTGTAGTTTAACTATTTTTGTGTGTGATATATTCGTGATGTTGTAAGAATGTTATCATTGATGTTCTATTTTGAAATTAAGATTTGAACAAACTTTTTGTTGTTCTTTTTTTCCTTTTATTATATCGTTAATGTTGCTCGCTAAAAACAATCAAAAGGTAAACCAACAAAATTGTAGATTAAGAAACCTCTTAGCGAGCAACGTTAACAATATAGGAAACGGAAAAAAAGAACAAAATTCAAATCTTCATTTCAGAATAGAACATCAATGGTAACATTCTTGTGAAATCATAGATGCATCACACACAAAAATAGTTAAATCTACTTTGCACTTAGTTAGCAAATGCTAGACCTTTTTCATCCTTAAAAAGGCTAACACATGGCACATGGAATCCCAAGAAATCCAAACCCTTTATTGCTGCAATACGCTTGATCGACATATTTATTATGTGTTGTAACTACATGGTTGCGTTCTTCCATGGTTGTAACTACATTCATGGGGGATTATGGTTGGTGTTTTATAATCGTTTTAGGCGTCTTCTATTGAATTGGTTATATAATTTTGCAGCATTCAAATTTAAAGATTCGGCTATGATCACTATTAAAATCTCTAAAAGTGGTTGTTTGTGCATATTTTGGCGTGAGAATACAAGGTATGAGGCAACTTGTCCTAGATTTATTAAAGTATTGATTCAACTTGTCAAAGTTCCAATTGCCCATATCTAAGTGTCTTTAGTGTCATTTATTTATTTGTATGTGGTATGTGATTTTATGTTTTTTTTTAATAGTCTATTGTTGGAAGCAATCAAATCATGCATGAGGTTAATAGTTTTCATGGTGCTCTTAGAGGAAGCTATGTACTTTAGATTATCCAATGGAAAAACAAGGAGTTGTAGCTAAAACAAAATAAAATTTACAAACAAGATTTTAAAAATGATTTGAGAATATTGATTGATTACATGAATCAAAAAGAAGGATCCACTTCATATAATTAATAACTTCATTAAACTTACGACGTGAAGCAGTTTATATGCTCAAACCAACGACAGCCCTCCATGTCCAGCGGAAAAGCAGTTGAATGTAAGGTCTTTATCATATGTCCCCCTCCTCCAACAACAATTTGAAACATAGTGATACATACATATTGTACCTGGCCATTTGAATCGCAAGGGCCAATCTTGTCATGAAAATGTCCTGGTTCCCTAAATGAATCAAAAACTATTTCTTTACGCGACAAAATGCAAATGGCGGCTGTTCAATCTGCATGCCACACAATACAAACTGTTTTATTAGTGAGTATTCAATATCACCGTCATCACTTTCAACCATCTCAAAGGAGAATGCTACAATCTCCTCCTCCTGAGGCATACTTATGGCATAGACAGACTTGTCTACAACCACAACCCTTTCTTGGAAGGAGCATCACAAGAATCAACGTTCACTTTATTCCATTACTTTCCCTTTCTAGTCTCGTGAAAAGCAACGACATCGTAACAGTCGTCCATAGCATACAAGTAAAAAATAATAACACCATAACAAACAGAATAACCAATTATACACATACGAGATTTATAGTCATTGTAAAAGTGTAGGAATGTTATTATTGATAATGTTGATTGGGCTAAAAGGCACTATTTTCCAAAAATTTTAGTTATGATACACTTTGAATTGTAGTTTAACTATTTTTGTGTGTGATATATTCGTGATGTTGTAAGAATGTTATCATTGATGCTCTATTTTGAAATTAAGATTTGAACAAACTTTTTGTTGTTCTTTTTTTCCTTTTATTATATCGTTAATGTTGCTCGCTAAAAACAATCAAAGGTAAACCAACAAATTGTAGATTAAGAAACCTCTTAGCGAGCAACGTTAACAATATAGGAAACGGAAAAAAAGAACAAAATTCAAATCTTCATTTCAGAATAGAACATCAATGGTATCATTCTTGTGACATCATAAATGCATCACACACAAAAATAGTTAAATCTACTGTGCACTTAGTTAGCAAATGCTAGACCTTTTTCATCCTTAAAAAGGCTAATACATGGCACATGGAATCCCAAGAAATCCAAACCCTTTGTTGCTGCAATACGCTTGATCGACATATTTATTATGTGTTGTAACTACATGGTTGCATTCTTCCATGGTTGTAACTACATTCATGGGGGATTATGGTTGGTGTGTTATAATCGTTTTAGGCGTCTTCTATTGAATTGGTTATATAATTTTGCAGCATTCAAATTTAAAGACCATAAGAAAAAAAAATTGTATAGTCTGACAATTACGAGGTCGTGTCCACGAGGATTGAGAACTTTATATTAGTTATGTACTTAGATTACCCAATTAAAAACAAGGAGTTGTACTGAATTTAAAAACAGGGTTATAAAGGAACCACTTCACATAATGAATTATTTCATTAAACTTACAAATTTTAGTGGGTAGAGGGAGGGTGATCTCCATGAGGTGTTTTATTATGATGCTTTTAATATTTTTGTTGGATGTGATGTAATTCTTAGGACATGTGATTTTCTTTTGGAGTTGTATAAGTATTCGGGACTTTAATAGTCATATGATGATAATTCAACTGTTCACTTGCTCAGGTTCATTAGAAATGTGAACCATCATTTTATGCATTTGAAAAAGTGTAGGAATGTTACATTGATAATGTTCACTGGGCTATAAGTCACTATTTTCCTAAATTTTTAGTTATGATACACTTTGAATTGTAGTTTAACTATTTTTGTGTGTGATACATCTGTGATGTTGTAAGAATGTTATCATTGATGTTATATTTTGAAATTAAGATTTGTACAAACTTTTTGTTGTTCTTTTTTTCCTTTTACTATATCGTTAATGTTGCTCGCTAAGAGATTTCTATGAATAGATAATAATATTGATTAATTATAAGAGCATTTGATTGTCTAAATGTTTTTATGAGCTTCTAGTCTTTTAAGTATTGCACGTTCTCTAAAACATTTCTTGATCTGCCACTGCTTGTATTCTTGAGATTTTAATGGTGATCGTAAGAGCAATCAAAAGGTAAACCAACAAAATTGTGGATTAAGAAACCTCTTAGCGAGCAACGTTAACAATATAGGAAACGGGAAAAAAAGAACAAAATTCATATCTTCATTTCAGAATAGAACATCAATGGTAACATTCTTGTAACATCACAAATGCATCACACACAAAAATAGTAAAACATACTATTCATAGTGTATTATAAGAGTTAGAAGTACATCCAACAACATCAACAACTTTGGAGAAAGCTTTGAAACCCTTATCATGATTAGTAAGATCCCCACCAATGTCAAGAATTTTCAAAAAATCAAATTTGCCAAAAAATGCATAACTTCCTCTTACATTAAGAGCACCTTATTTAAAATTTTGTTTTTCAATTCATGTACTCAAATCAATTTTCTCAAATCATTTTTAAATGATTGTTTTTAAATTTTGTTTTGTTTTAGATACAACTCCTTATTTTTGAATTGGGTAATCTAAGTACATAACTAATATGTACTTCTCAATCCTCATGGCTCATATACTTGCGAGTTATTATATATACATTAAAACTGTAAAAAAAGAACCAACAAATTAGGATAAAATTCATAATGAAAAAGGACTTGAACAAATAAAATATTTACATTCCTTTGATTTTATCAAAACACTTGAAGAATTTACTCATTTCAGGCTAAAGTGGTGATCCGTTTGATCTCTTAAAAGTTGGAAGGACATCCAACAACATTAGCAACTTTGGTGGAAGCTTTGAAACCCTTATCATGACTAGTAAGATCACCACTAATGCCAAGAATTTTGAGAATATCAAACTTGCCAAAACATGCATAGCTTTCCCTTACATTAAGAGCACCTTAATAAATAAATAAAAATTCAATTCATGTACTCAAATCAATGTTCTTAAATCATTTTTAAATTTTGTTTTGTTTTAGATATAGCTCCTTATTTATGAATTAGGTAATCTAAGTACATAACTAATACAAAGAGAAAAAACAGAAGAAAATAAAGACCGGAAGAAAAAAAATTGTATAATCGGACAATTATGAGGTCGTGCCTACGAGGATTGAGAAGTTCATATTAGTTATGTACTTAAATTACCCAATTCAAAAACAAGAAGTTGTAGCTAAAACAAAACTTAATTTAAAAACAAGGTTTTAAAAATGATTTGAGGAGATTGATTTGAGTACATTAATAAAAAACAAGGATCAATTTCATATAATGAATTACTTCATTAAATTTACAAATTTTAGTGGATAGAAGGGTGATCTCCATGAGGTGTTCTATTATGATGCTTTTAATAATTTTGCTTGATGTGATGTAAGGCTTAGGACATGTGATTTTCTTTTGGAGTTGTATAAGTACTCAATACTTCAATAGTCATATGATAGTAATTCAACTGTTCACTGCTTAGGTTCATTAGAAATGTGTACCATCATTTTATGCATATGAAATAGTGTAGGAATGTTACTATTGATAATGTTGACCGGGATATGAGACACTATTTTCCTAAATTTTTAGTTATGATACACTTTGAATTGTAGATTTAACTATTTTGTTTGTGATGCATCTGTGATGTGGCAAGAATGTTACCATTAATGTTCTATTTCGAAATAAAGATTTGGAACAAGCTTTTTGTTATTCTTTTTTTCCTATATCGTTAATGTTGCTTGCTAAGAGATTTCTTGATCTACAATTTTGTTGGTTTAGCTTTTGATTGTTCATGCGATCAACATTAAAATATCAAAAAGTGGCTGCTTGTGCATATTTTGGCATGAGAATACAAGCAGTGGAGGATCCATGATTTTTTTTTACAATGTGCAATATTTAAAAGACTAAAAGCTCATAAGACAACATCAGCTTGGTTATATGAATTTCCCAATTTACCCTTAATTTTGGCAGAAAATTTAACTTAGTTGATGGAAAGACCAATGATGCAACATGAGATCTAATTGAGATACCACCATAACAATTTTGCATCATGAGGGACGAAAAGTAAAGTTGGGTCTTATTTGATGGACTATTGCTATAATTTTATTATATTTATGGGCGGGCCGGACTGGGCCCGCGACTTCAAACCTTTTGCCAAGCTTTACCCAATCTTAGAGTAGGTCAGGCCCGTCGAACCTAAATAACGGATCGGGTTGGACTTTAGCCCATCGGGCTCGGGTTGCCCACTTGATCCCATGAGCCTCCAACCCAATGTTGATTCCCATAATTACTTTGTACTTTTTTTTTAATACAATATTTACTATGGTCGATTCTTTAAAAATAATGATAATTTAAACACTAATACGTCCTGTTGATGTGGCAAGCCGACATGAAATAAAGGATTTTTATCAAAAAACATCGATGGCATTCACGAAACTATTAGGTTGTGTCTTTTTAGACCTCATTTGTTACACATGATTGTCTTAGCATGGACTATGCTTAAGGACTATCTTGGTTGGGTATAAATTGGATAGGACTTATCTTGCATTTGGTGTATGCTTGGATTAGGATTAGATTTTTTTTATTTTTCAAAGTATATATATTATACATATATATGTATATATATACGTATAATATACATATATATTATATGTATAATATACATATATATATTATATGTATAATATACATATAATATATGAGTTTTTCTATTTAAACCCCACACTTCTTTTTGTTAACCCCATATTCTAAGTTCATCCCAACTTCTAATTCAAATTTTTACAATTTCTAAGAAAACCTCACTATCTTTTGAAACTATCCCTAAATACACACCTAGCAGAAAAGGAAAAAAAAACTTATCAACCTCACACCTCACACCTCACACCTCACACCCACACCCCGCTATGTTGCCCCTCACCACTCTCATGCACTTTATCCAAACTCTTGCGTTGCGTACATGTTAGTCTTTTATGTGTGCAACAAGTTTTTGAAGACAGACCAACCATGTCATTCGTGATTATGATGTTAGGTGATGAGTGTCCCTTGCCTCAACCCAAAAAACTAGGTTTCTCTGGTGGAAAATATTCATCTAAAGCAAATTCTTCTTCAAGTAAGAACTTAACATCTTCAAGTAAGAAGGAAACATCTTCAAACTATGACTCAACCATAACGTTGCCTTTGCTCGATGAAATGCAATTAATTGTAAATCTTGCACCATGTAATTTAATCAAGCTATTATTCATAGCTTTGTTGGCGTGCAATTTTCTTATGGAAATAGTTAAATTATATAAAAATTGCAATAGTAAAACTTAATATGGTGTAGATGAGTTATTGTTTTTCTAAAACTTAAAATGAAGAGTGGTGGGGTGTGTGTATAGATGTATTAAGGGTTAAGTACTAAGTTGGATGACCTTTTTTGTTTATTTACACAAAATAAAACTTAAGCTTAATGATTTAAGTATTAGGGTGAATAAAGAAAAGTGTGGGGTTTAAATAGAAAAACTCTAATATATAGGGCCCGGTATTAGCAATCCCATGAGAATGTGTTTTTTATGGACCCGGTATTAGCAATCCCATTTAAGACTAGGAAAGAATTCTTATGTTAACATGCGTGCTCACAAGTAAAACCTATCATTAAGTTCCGTTCAAAAGTCTGTTAAATTGATGGCGTGACACACAACTCACATATCCAATAATATGGTGCAATCTGGATTAAATGAAAGTATATATTTTAAAAATATTCAAAAATGATAAACAAAAACGACACAACTTGTTGGTTTCGAGAATACATTTTGTGATAAAGAGCCTGAAATAAATTAGAATGATTTAAAAGAAAAAAGTGGGAGACTTAAATGAGTTATTACGTAAAATTAATTTTTTGGCGGAGTTATTACAGAAATCGAGGTAAGGCAAGTAAATTGTTATGTTAATCCCAAAAATATAATTACAATTTGAGACAACACGCCACAACTGATCTGATGTATTTTCTCTCTTAATTATTTTTTTATATTTAAAAATAAAAATAAATAAATACCCACATTTCTCTCTCTTCGTCGCCTCTTAATCGATCCAACCAGCAACCACAATCTCTCGATCCCACGCATCTAGCATTCGATTTGCCATCGTTTCTGTAAGAAATTCTTGAGAGATTCAAGCAGTGTGTGCGTATATACACATGTATATGTGTTTGATTTGATTTGGGGCTTCGGATTTTGTTTAGTGGGTGTGGTGGTGATCTGGTCGGAAATTGGAAGAAAATGGCGGGTGCGTATACGGATCAGCTGGAAGCCTACTTCAAGAGAGCAGATTTGGATGGAGATGGCAGGATCAGCGGAGCTGAAGCCGTCGCTTTCTTTCAGGGTTCCAATTTGCCCAAACAAGTTCTTGCTCAGGTTTCTCTCTCTCTCTCTCTCTCTCTCTCTCTCTCTCTCTCTCTCTCTCTCTTTCTAATATTTGTTTGCTTTTTCTCATATATATAAAGATCAGCCTCTGTCTGTGTGCGCATTTTTGGATTGATAAGATTCAATGTCTATGTCTTCGCCTTTCTATGTCACCAATTACCAATTACCGTAAATAGTAAGTAGTCTATGACTTCTGTAATTCGAAAACTAGAAAGAGTACGAGTTGATGGATTTGCTATAGACCAACTTCACATTCAGTGACCTTGTTCTCGTGGAAATGAATCTCTAATTTGTTCTAGTCGATACCGGTGAACACTGTACAAAGTTAGTTAGTCACATGCTGTCCTGGGCTCTTCATCTCATTATTATGTCAGTTTATGATTAAAATTTAAAAGAGGAGTTCAGAGTTTTTTATGCTGCTCATGCTTGTGCTTAATGGAGCTGCTGTAACTGTGTCTATGTTTCATTTATGTCTCTTTAGTCCAATTTTCTCTTGATTATAGAACCCTTTTTGGACTTATTTAATATATTTACCCTTTTTATTTTTGGATTTATCTTTTCCTCTGAAATTTGAATTTTGATTTGGCATGGCACTTCTGGCTGATAAATTGTTGTATGTTTATGAGTTGCAGATATGGATGCATGCTGATCAGAACAAAACTGGTTTTCTTGGTCGCCCAGAATTTTATAATGCTCTCAGACTTGTGACTGTGGCACAGAGTAAGAGAGAACTAACGCCGGATATTGTCAAGGCTGCATTATATGGTCCGGCCGCTGCAAAAATTCCTGCTCCACAAATTAATCTTCCACCCACATCTGCACCTCAATCAAATCCAATGGCTTCCACCTCTGCTCCACAGATGGGTATGGGAACCCCGCCAACATCTCAAAATTTTGGATTTAGAGGACCAGGAGTTCCCAATACAACTATGAACCAGAATTATTTTCCGCCTCAGCAAAATCAGTCCTTGAGACCTCCTCAAGCCATACCGACTGGAATGCCTACTGGTAGCCATTCTCGTCCACCACAAGGTGTTGGAGGTGGTATGGGGGCTCCCAGTGTTCTAAACTCAAATGTCTCAAGTAATTGGCTTAGTGGAAGCACTGGTGCACCTCCTGCTGGGCCCAGAGGGCTTAGTCCTTCCATGCCCTCATCTACACCAAAATCACAACCTCCAGTTTCAACATCTTCTCTGCCGGCAGCTAATGACTCCAAAGCATTAGTTGTTTCTGGAAATGGGTTTGCATCCAATTCAGCTTTTTCAGGTGATTTATTTTCTGCAACCCCCGGTCAACCAAAACAGGAATCTTCTGGATCAACATATTCTGCTAGAAGTACACCCACCTCATCAGCCACTGTGCCAGTTTCCAGTGGGCCCCAACCTTCCAGTAAGCTTAGTGCACTTGATTCACTGAGTGCATTCACGATGCAGCCTTCTGGCACTCAGTTTCAGCGGCCCCAGGGACCCTTGAACCATAGTCAGCAGGTATCAGCTCCAGCTTCTTCCTCTTTTGCATCATCTGGGGTTTCAGTTGGAGCGGGAAACTCTACTTCTGAAAATTCACAGATTCCTTGGCCAAAGATGAAGCCATCTGATGTTCAGAAATATTCAAAAGTGTTTATGGAAGTAGACACTGACAGAGATGGGAGAATCACTGGTGACCAGGCACGGAATCTATTTCTGAGTTGGAGGTTACCAAGAGGTAAAGTTTTTTTCCATCTGAAAGAAAGCATAAATGATACATTCGGTTGGATGACTCATCTTTGATTGAACAATTTGAAAATTGGAATAAATAAGCTAGTAAATTCTTTTTAAAATCAAGTCCATCATTCAGTATTTAATAGGGTTATTTTTTGGAGTTTCATGGTTCAGTTTTAGTTCAGATTTTATGTCTACATCACACTTGAACCTCTTGATTATTGACCCTGTGAAGGGGTTGACTTAAATTATATCTTTGGGTGTCATTAGTGGTAAATTCTGTAGGTCATATGGTGGATTCTAATCAGTAAAGTCTTTGCAAGTAATCAGGATGTTGGTTTACATTTTGATGGTGATTTGGCTGATTCAATTCAGTTTTGCATTCATCTATGATTGGGTATCAATTTACTTTTACTATGATGTAAGTGTTTGTTATTGGTCAGGTCAAACACTTCTCCTTGATTTACATTTTGGTAGATAGTGGCCAAAACTAATTTTTTTTGGCTCATCTACTTCATTTTTATTTACTTTATTATTATTATTAAAATTTCCCCTTCTCTCTTTTTATTTATTTTAAATTCCCTCCCATCATTCCTTAAGTCCCATAGGTTTGATCGTGTAGAATCTGACCCATTTTCTCATTGAGCAAAAGGTACGAAATAAATCATATTGATGTTTAGATCAAAAGTAATATGTGAAATCTTTGGTTAAGATGAAGGCGTTGATGGAATTATTATGATTTTCCATGAATTTGGACAATCTTTGTGAAGACGTTGTTTGGTTCTACAAATGCTCAATAATTTCAATTTTTGCCTTTCTCAGAGGTTTTAAAGCAGGTGTGGGACTTATCTGATCAAGATAATGACAGCATGCTTTCCTTGAGGGAGTTTTGCTTTTCTCTCTATTTGATGGAACGTTACAGGGAAGGTCGCCCTCTTCCAGACACACTCCCACATAATGTGATGTTTGATGAAACACTGCTGTCCATGACAGGTCAACCCAAAGTCCCATATGGAAATGCAGCTTGGAGTGCCAACCCTGGTAATGGCTGGAGTTGCTTTTTCTACCTTTGCTTCACCTTGTTAGATATTTGCTGATTAGATTGCATTTAGGTTTTGGACAACATCAAGGGATGCAAGGTTCCCAGATGATGGCACCTGCTGCAGGTTTGAGGCCACCGATGCAGTTAAGCACCCCCCAGGCAGATGGTGCATTGCAACCAAATCAGCAGAATTTGAGAGTGCAAGGGATGGAGGGTTTGAATACAACCCAACTTGATAATGGGAAGCAGGATTCATCTAACTCAAAACCTGAAGAGCCTAAAGATGCAGGGAAAAAGGCAATTTCCTTTGTCATTTTAGTTCTCTCTTATTTATTTATTCTTCAGTCTCAATTGGGAGGGAATAAGGATAAGATGAGACAATTAAATTACTGTTATCCCTCATCCATGTTTGGTATGGTATCACAAATAATGAAATAATCTAGCAATCTCAGATAAGCATTTATTCATAAATAAGTTAGGCACCTAGTTGTCCCGAACATGCCTCCTTCTTCCTTTTCCTCTTCCACGCAATAAACTCATCTTTCAAGCAGATTTTTATGGGAATTAATGGAATAAGCTATTTAGTATGTATTATTACTGAAAGTTAAAGTTATTCAAATTTGAAATAAAATTTATATTAGTGTCCTATCTGAACACCAAACTTAGGGAAATATCATACACAGTACAGTCCTATATTTTATGAAACACTGGACAACAATTAGATTCCAAAATCCAGTCCATTTTAAATGTCCAGTTCAGTCCAATGTCCTGAACAAGGAGAGACAGAGAAATTACTGTTTGTTTAAAATCATTTTGAACTTTGTAATATTCGTTTACACAAAAGTGAAGCCATGATTTTTTGTTTACGTTCCTGCAATATCATTGATTTTGATATATTTTTGGATTTGAGAGTTTATTGCCTTTGAATTTGTGATTACTCGATTCTTCTTCTACTTCTATTTACTGGTTTTAATGAGGGCGGAACTTTTATATGTTTGGAGAAAATAATGTGTTTTGTCTGGTTTCTTATTATTAAGTTTATATTTTTCTCCGACTTTATTTTTTTACTTTGCTTTTCCAAGGGATAAGAAAGAATTCTTTAATTCATGGTAGGTTGAACAAACTGAGCATGTGATTTTGGATTCAAGAGAGAAGATGGAGTTCTACCGGACAAAAATGCAGGAACTTGTCAGTAGCTTCTAACTTTTGCTATTTTTCTTCTAGTCATTTCTCAATAACGACCGTTAAATTTCTTTCCGCTGAGTTTGATTGTTTGGATAGAACATGCTGATTTTCTAATAGGATTTGAGAATATAGACCTTGCTCATGCTGCTTGACATTATATTGGGTGTGTAGTGATTCTATAATCTTAGTGTAGGGTGAAGAATTTTACTAGAGACAAAGGAATAGAATATTTGGCAGTGTTATTCCTCTCAAAGGAGGAAATAAATAGGATACAGCAGATCATATAAAAGGAAAGTAATTAAGCCTAAAGTCAACTACTAGAAGTCAGCTAGTTACAACTAATTACTAGGCTAAGTACACAAAGTCTTATAAGTATATACAGAAAGAATACACATGTCAACATAGTTTGCTTTTGTTTCTTATCATGCAGAATTCTTAAAAAAAAAAAAAAAAAAAAGATAAGTAGAAAGTGATTTTGTAATCTTGCTACCTGTGTACGGTTACATTCTGGCTCAATTGATCCTTGATTCAATCATAAAGTGACTTTCTGATCGAAAACCTATAAGTTTTGGGGCATAATGCATTGTGGCATTGCCTTTGGCTCCATGTTTCTTATTGGTATTAATTAGCTATTGAAAACCTTAAGCTATTTCATGTAAAATTATCTTGTACAGTGTTAGAAGTTTTGTAAGCAGTGGAATTATGGTCATAGTGCACTATTTCTGCCTCCATTAAGTTTTCTTTTGTCATTGCTGCAGGTTCTGTATAAAAGCAGATGTGATAACAGGTTAAATGAGATCACAGAAAGGGCAATTGCAGACAAGCGTGAGGTATTTTCTTATAAATATGGAATTGTACCACTAATGAGCATGGTTTCCTGTTAATTTATGTTAACGAGTGGCATTACAGTCTGAGTCTCTGGCTAAGAAATATGAGGAGAAGTATAAACAAGTGGCAGAAATAGCATCTAAGTTAACCATTGAAGAAGCCACGTTTCGTGAAGTTCAGGTATTTATATTCTTTGTTTCAGGATGGCCTAAATGTTTAATTGAGTAGTAACTAGTCAGTAATAACTGTGCTTGCCATGTGCTGATCTGAACCATGTTTTTTGTTGCGTGCATAGATATGTACTGCTCTTTCTTCTGCTGTTTCTCCCATTTTTTCTTCTCTATCCATACATCAGTAATCATACTCAATTCTTCCCAATAGCTGCTGTATTTGTAATGTTTTGTTTCATGAGTGTATTTAGTACTTTGGGATGTGCCCTTGTTGAATGACCTTAGATTTCATGATTTATATTTTATCTGATTCATTCTCAGGAGAGGAAGATGGAATTGCATCAAGCAATTGTTAAAATGGAGCAAGGAGGTAGTGCAGATGGTATTCTTCAGGTACTCTTTCCCATTAGCTATGATGAGTTATACTGTGACTATCTGCAAATTTGTCTATCACTGATGCATTATGTCTGCTCTAGGTCCGTGCTGATCGGATACAATATGATCTTGAGGAGCTAGTAAAGGCTCTTTCTGAACGTTGCAAGAAACATGGATTAAACATGAAGTCAAGTGCAATAATTGAGCTCCCAATTGGTACCTACAGACTCATTCTTTTTCCTTTGTTCTGGGATGTTTTCACTTAAGCAATGATCCATATTGAAGGAGAGTACAAATAATCTAGTACATCATACGCATAGTAGCTATTAAAGTGTAATTTTAATCTTTCAACTCATTCATGAACCTGCTTAAGACCTTCAACTGAGTTTAGGACTTGAGCTTACCTGCTTATTTATTCACAACACAAATATCCATGTAGGTTATCTACATATAAGAACCTTAATGCCCTCAGAAGTAGTGAATGTGTGATGTGGCCCTGTGGATGGGCAAGTTTGAAGGAAGAAAATTCCAAGTTGCTTTACAATTTTACACCTTTTGTATATTGTTCAATGTGTTACTCATTATGCTTTAAGTTAACGTTTTGACGTCTGTATAAAGACTCTTTATTACGAGCTCTCAACAATTTGCCTTAGTATTTTGGTGGTTCTGACATGTTGCATGCGATGATTCTTAAGGCTGGCAACCTGGAATTCAAGATGGAGCAGCTGTTTGGGATGAAGATTGGGATAAGTTTGAAGATGAAGGTTTGCCAATAGTCACAGATTTTCTTGCTTTATACCTTATGCTTTTCTATTGTAATTTTTTTATTTTTCTCTTTTTTTATCAAGGTAGCTCTCTAGTGATTATTATCTAGCAACAGAGATGTTATATAAATACTTAGTCATTCTTATATATGGACATGCCAAAACTTTTTCAGGATTTGCCAATAATCTCACAATTGATGCCTCAGCAAAAGCACAATCTGTATCTGTTCAGAGGGACAAGGCTTCCCCAGATCGTAGTTCTACTCCTGATTCATCATTTGCTGATGGCAAGTCAATGAATGGTGAACATGCCCTTGAAAGTGAATCTGCTTTCACCCATGGTGAAGATGAATATGCAAGAAGCCCTAATGGCAGTCCGGCTGGAAGGACTGCTCCAGAAAGCCCGTCTCAAGAGTTCTCAGACGTCCATTATGGTAAAAGTTTTGAAGCAGACGCAGAAACACATGGGTACGTGGTTAATACAATTCTTTACTTACTCTCTCTCTCTCTCTCTCTCTCTCCCTCTCCAAACTTCCACTTTCATCTCCCTATCTACATGCTATCGCTGATTTGATATATTTCTGGTGACAGAAGTTTTGATGAGTCAACCTGGGGTGCCTTTGACAATAATGATGATACTGACTCTGTGTGGGGTTTTAACACCAAGGTGAGCCCGGACATCCTGAAGCACCATTCTATTTCCTGATTAATGATTACACCAAATGTATTGATATTTCCCATGTTTGATGTCAACCTGCAGGGGTCAGATTCTGAGAAGCATAGGGATTTCTTTGGATCAGATGACTTTGGTCTTCACCCAGTAAGAACTGGATCCCCCCATGCAGAAACCACCTTTCAGAAAAAGAGCCTGTTCTTTGAAGACTCTGTTCCTAGCACTCCGCTCTCCAAATTTGGCAACTCTCCAAGATACAGCGAGGCTGGGGATCACTACTTTGACAATTTCTCGAGGTTTGATTCCTTCAGCAGCAGCAGGCATGACGGTGGGTTTTCTTCGCAACCGGAGAGGTTCACGAGGTTCGATTCCATGAGCAGCAGCAAGGATTTCGGCCACACAAGGTTTGATTCCATAAGCAGCAGCAAGGACTTCGGCCAAGGGCGTGAGCAGCTCACAAGGTTCGATTCCATAAACAGCACAAAAGATTTTGGCCAGAGTGCATTTTCTTTTGACGAGACAGATCCATTTGGCTCATCTGGCCCATTCAAGGTCTCATCAGAGAGTCAAACATCAAAGAAAGGTTCTGATAATTGGAGTGCTTTCTAATGCGCAATCCGATCTGTTATATTGTACCTTCACAAGAAGCCCCAATTTGTTAACATGTTTTCCCCATTTTGTTTGAGGGTTGATCATTGTTGTAGCCAAATTTTTGTGTGATGTATAGCTTAGAACAATCGCTGGACACCTTTATTGTTGTTTGTATGGTTGTATTGTATTATTTGACGAAAATTCATTATTTGTTCAAGTCGGTGTACCATTTGCCAATATCGTCTGTCTCAGAACTTCATATTCTAGCGTTACACTTTGCTCATCGACTATTTATCAACCAGAGAGGCTATGATGAGGGGATATGATATAATGAGGGTGACTTTAATACTCATCTAATGAATGAAAATATTTATGTTCAATAATATATCTTTACATTGTTGGATGGCTAGATCTCCTTAATGTACCCCCATAATATGAAGGTTCGTATCTATGGTCCGTATATGACACTCTCACCATAGAATGACTCCTCCCTCGTTAATGCCCAAAATAAGCAAAATATGACACTCTCACCATAGAATGACTCCTCCCTCGTTAATGCCCAAAATAAGCAAAATGGACTTCTGAATTGGGGGCCCAACAACGCCATAGCTAACCTAACCTAACTGGATACTTGGGTGGGACCAAACCAACGGCTAATCCCCTCCCTCTCCCTCTCCCTCTCCCTCTCCTCCTCCTAGTTTGGATTTGAGTCACTGTTTGAGTCTGTCTCTGTGGTGTGGTATGCGATGGAGGCGATGGTGAAGAAATACCAGCAGAGGTTCAGGAAGGTCAGGGACGAGATGGACCGCTGGTCCGAGCTTCAGTCGCGCTTGATTTCACAGTTTAGGAACGCCTCCTCCATCATCCAGAGGTTGCAGGTCTCACTCTTCTTATCCAATTGCTACTACATATGCCACTAAACTCTTATTATTATTATTTTTATTACCAAAAAAAAAAACTATTTATTTGTTCATTTAGAATTTCGGGTTGTTGGGTTGTGATTAGGTGCTTCGAGATTCCAAGAAGTATGTCCGTTTGAAGGACGTTGTTGGTATTCAAGAGGCAGTACTGGCGAAGCAGATGGAGTCGTTGCAGAAAATCTTGTTTTCCATGAACAAAACCATGTAGGTTTCCTTTGTTCCTCTTCTTTTCTTTTCTTTTCTTTAATTGTAATTTTTATTTTAATGAAAATTATGGGGCATGTAAGATGACTTATGTCAGTTGGCCTAATCACTTGTTATGATTATCGTATTAGAATGAGATTATGGGGTTTATGTTTATCAGTTAATGTCGTGTCTTCTTCACTGAGTAAGAATCAATTGATAACTCTGCTTTTATTCATGTTGTAATTCATGTGTTTATTGTATTTAACTTCAATTATTCTTACAAGGCAACCATGGTGCTCATCTGCATTTAAGTATTGGCAGTAATCATTTTTAAATAGGATTTAAATTTCATGAAACTGTCTTAAGCCTGCCATTTTGCAATATATATATATATATATATGTATATGTTTCTTTTAAGAAAGGAAGAAGAAAAAGTTGAATTTATGTTATTAATTTCAGGGAAGAGTTTCATGGAATTGTATTGTCTCTTGGGAAGATTCATCGTGATGGTAGGCAGATGGTGAAAGGTGGTGGTTCTAATCAGCTGACTATAAAACAACTGCAGCAACGAGTTGGTGTAAAACCCAGTCTTGCAGATTGCTTAGATGGGCTTATGCTTCTTCAGGAGATGCATTGCTCTGAGTATGTAACTTTCCATGTCGTAAATGATAAATTTGTTCCTTGTTAGCTTTAAAATGTCAAATGAGGTGTTGCCAGATTTCATTCCTATAGTTCCTGTCACTTATGGTGTTGGTATATCAGAAAGTTTATCTAAATTGCTGCAGATATATCTGGCCCACTCCTTCCCACGCACACACACAAACTAGTATAATTGAACTTGTTTTCTGGTTATATATGGGTCAAGATCACTTTAACCTAGTTCATGCATAATTTAAGTTTTTCTTTCCCTCCTTTATCAGGTACCTTTTGAAATCATCAGTGGTTTCAGCACTCTCAGCACTTACCTTGAAACCCAGGTGTGTGATGCACTTGTCTTCTTACCAGAACTGCTAGTTTTACCTTTCTGATTTGTTTAGGAACTTGATCTGTTCGAATTTGAGGGGAGTCTATGGTAGTCTGGAAGATGTTCTTTATAATAGATTATTGTTATTCTTCTTTACCAATGTCGAGGGAGGATGAACTGTCAATACCAACACCCATCTAGGTTGTCCAATCCATTTTTCTTTTTCTTTTTTTCCTTTTTTGTTCTTTCTGGGCCTGGGATTGGTGGACGGAGGGGATTAGTAGACTGAGCTTTATTTAGACTCCGTCTACTATAAATTTTACATATTTTGGAACTTAGGTGTAATCTGCAGATGCATAACCCATATTTTACCATGTTTGTATTTCAAGAAGTTTCTTTTCTTTCTTTCTTTTTTAAGATTTATTTAAGTTCTATGATTTTACCATGGTGTCATAACAAAGGTATTCTTATCCTGAATAATCAATTTTCCAGTGCGAGTGATTTGGGAGCGCTCCAGCAGCTCTTGGTTGATCAGCCTAACATCCCGAATGAGGAGGGTAAGAAAAATTGTATAATGTGTGGAAGATTATAACAATATTTTCACATAAATATGCTAAGTTGAGCCATTTGTAATCTTTTCTTGAGCATAAAGATTTTGTGTTATCGCTGTTTTTTGAAGAGTTGGTTGATATGGAATCAAAATTGAAACATTCATCCTACTTCTTAGTTTGATATTTGGTGCTGATTTATCTAGGTGACACCTTTAATATGTATATGAAATACTGTGTTAGCCCGTCACCTACTTTTATGGTCGACGTGATTATAATATCCACACTTCAGGTTATCTCATTCTGTTTTCTCTTTGACAATTACTTAATTTGTGTAGTTTCTGTCTTCTCGGTAATTGTTTATTTTATGTAGTTGGCATCCCTTTTAACTTTTACTGATGATACTGAAGTACTAAACTCATCCCCTGACTGGTAAAATTTTTGTTTGCAGTTCAATTCATCTTTGATATCATATTTGCAGAAGAAAACTGTTGATGTTTTCTGTTACATTGGCTGCAAACTTCGTAGCTCTGGAAATGGGAAGCAGTTTGAAACCTGTTGGTGTATGGGCGGTGAGTGATGACAGTTGGATGCTTGAACTCTGGTGTTGAGACTTCGAAAGGTGCCAGCAACGTTTTATGTTTGGAAGTGCACAAGAGGGAGAATTCAAAGAAGATTCAAACTTACTTGTATATTCATGGAAGTGATGCAGCAGAAGGTTGGAATATTGAAGTTAATTATTACTATTGTTTGTGCCTCTGAAGAAGGGATGTGTGTGAACTTCTGGATCTTTTCAATCTATGTTATTGAGGTAAATGTTTCTTTGCCCAATTGATATAGTAGTAGGAGACATAATGTGAATATCAATTTTGTAGACATTTCTAATGATTCTATTAAAATATTCGGCGCCTCATGCGAGAGCCATATGTCCAGCAGCATGGATGGCTGGGGATCAACTACCCTCCCCAACTTTTTAGGCCCCTGGTCCTAGCTGATTGTTATTGCAGACCATGAGCAGTAAGTGCCATCTCAGAATTACTCCAGTAGGTTTAACCTCGAGTCTTTTTGCCAAGAGGCCTTTTTTTTTTGGGTCATATTGCCAAGAGGTTTAACCTATAGTTTTGAGAAGGATATTAAGTAGGAATGGGATGATATTTTGGCATTCCTTCCTTCCCAGGCAAACTAAACTCGGGTTGGGGTTGAGTAGAAGTGTATCATGGTTACTTCCATCTACAGGTCACGAATTGCAATTTGCGACAACCTAGCTTGTCGTTTTGCCGTCCAGGTACTGATTTTAATTTCGAAGCCTACTTTCCATTTTCAGCAAGTACCTTCCTTAATTTCATGAAATCCAGAATTTCCTCAACGTAGCTAGCTACTCATTAGAACCCATGCATAAAGTTGCTCGCTTAAGTAAGGCATTGTATAATCAAGTAGAAGCATCATGCAGTGTGAAGCCGAGGCAAAGTGAAAATGTGCTCAAATTGGTAGGCACATGTTGGCCTGTCTTCTTTGTTCAGCTCTTTGCTTATTGGGTTGCCTGATGGCATCGATGCGAGAAAAACTTCCATGGGACGGGACGGAACAGTTCTGCAGCACTCTTGTTTATTTCTCTTATGGAGAGATGTCTGCCAAATCACCTGACCGCCACACCACTTGAAAGCTTGGCATTCAGTGAGAAGTTTCCATAATTCCACCGACCATTGACAAAAAGCAAAAAAAGACACAGTTTAATTTGACCTGTGGTCCTGCCGTCCAAAGCACGAGAAAATTATTTTTTATTTTTTATTTTTTGAAGTCGAAATAAATTACACTGCGGATCCATGTCAGATTTCTAAACCGCACAAATCATTACAAATCACTGAAAAAGGAAAATTACATAACCAGATGAATTTTGACTTTTATCAACTCCACACGTACTTTGATTCAATTAATATTTTAAAGTAGTTAGAATTCTATGGATTTCAATTGACTTTTATAAACTCCACACATACTTCGATTGAATTTCATAAGAATTTTGATGAATTTTGTTGAAATCTTGTCATAGAGTTTGATAGATTTTTATAAAATTTTATAAATTCGAAATAGTGGTGGGACATCATATTTGATGTTAGTAAAAATAGTAGAGACGATGGTGTAAGGTGGTAGGCGTGGTAGCAGTGGTGGTGGTGACGGTAAGAGTGATGGTGGGGGTGGTGGTGTTGATAGCCATGACAAGATGGTGGTAATAGAATTTTAAAAAAATTGTAATGGCCTAAAATTAGTCTAAAATCAATTGATATTCACAACTTTTTGTATTTCCTTTAAAATCAACGATTTTCTTAATACACCCAAATTTTTATGGAATATTTTAAAGGCATGATTGAATACATCCAAATTTGGATGGAGTTAACAAAATTTGGATTGAATAAATTCATATTTTAAAATCTCAATTCTTGAAGAACCCTATTTTTAAACTTCTTTAAAATCTTTTAACCCCTAGTATTGTGAAAGCATTTGTTACCAAATTTACTTGTTGATATACATGGGAAACAACAAATAAATCACAAGGAACGCAAAACAACAAATAAATCATAAAGAAAGGAAGAGGCTTTTTTATAAATAAAAAAAACCCGAAATTGTTTATAAATAAAAAAAAAAAAAAAAAAAAAATACAAATACGATACGCCGTCTGCGTGTTCACTTTTAAGTTTTAACCGGTAGTTGAATAGTAGTTGGTACGCGGGTGTAGTCGTAGAACCACCAGCCTGGTTTAGAAAGCTTTTAGTGGGGTCGGCGGCGGGTGAAACACACACTTACGCGCTCTCTGTAGAAATTTTTTAGAGAGATAGAGTCTGGGAGACAGAGATGACTATTCTCATTCAGTCAACCTTCTCTCTCTTCATTTCTTCTATACAAAATATCAAAAATGAATTGTCTCTTAATATATATTTTTTGTTCTTATTGTTGCTGCTCTTGCCTTTGCCCTTCAGCTCAACCCACAAGCCCTTTTTGGGGGTTTTGGCTTTTCTCTCTCGTCTCTTTCTCTCTCCTTTCTCAAATCATCAAACTTCATACTTCAAACAACATCATCATCACCAATCACAAGTTACAACTTACAAGAGGAAGAAAAAAAAAATTTAAGAAAAGAAATCCCCAATTCTATTTCCTCTTAGAAAAGTCGAATTTTTTGTTTGTTCTTTTCCATGGAAGAAGATGGACTTTGTGTTTGCTCATGCTTTTCCCAATCCTTATGCAACCACTCAAGTTTTCTGAGCAAATTTTGACCTGAATTGGGGATTCTCTCAAATCAAAGCATCTTTGACTATAAGTCCATAACTCAGAAACACAGGCCAAGGTATGCTTCTGTTCATATATCCTATAATAATATCCTGTCTTTCTTTAATTGATGATTTTCTTGCATTTATTTCCTTGTGCTTTTCTGGGTTGCTCCTGATCAAAACTTAATTAGACATGGTCTTCATTAGCAACTATATAAGCGTTTGTTAATTCTATCTGAATTACCTGGAAGGTATACACCTAGGCATCAGATTATTCAAATCGAATCAAATCAAAACCTGCTTTGACCAATAATAAATCTGTATCCACCCTATGACATAGCTTAATTTGCAGTTTCTTAGACCACACTCTAACTGGGTAAGTACTTGTTGCGCTTTATCTTTCTTATTGTGTATTTTTACTTTGGTCTCTACCACTTTAGTTGAACTGGGTAATCAAATTCCAATATTGTGCCAGTGCGTGTATTCCATAAAAACTGCATCAAGTCATTGGCGTTTCATCGACATCTTCCCTACCAACTTTAACCCAAACACATACAGTTGTGATTCTACATAATAGTTTTAATGATCTGCCTGATATAGGAGATTTGGAATGTTTGATTCTGGCTTTGAAATTCTTGTGTCTAATATGTTATTTTGCTGAAAAAGATCTGCTCTGGTGTTGCATTGACGTGTTCTTTTATAATTTTTTCTAGAACATTCATACAATACAAAAGCTGCTATATACTTTTTACATTTGAATGGAGTATGAAGAATGTTCAGTTCACTTCCCAAACACTTTTCATCAGTTCCTTTAGATTCTCGTTTAATTTCAGAATTAGTTTAGTTTAACCACTTGTTTTATGATTTTTAATATGTTACTTAACTTTATGCTATATTACTTTGGTGCAGTAGGAGATTTAGGTCAGATGGCTGAAAGTTGGCATGGAAATTATGACACTGGTAGCCAGTCAGATGACAGCTATAAATTTGAGAGATTGCACATTGAACCTATTTATGATGCATTTTTTTGCCCTTTAACAAAGCAAGTTATGCGTGATCCTGTTACCTTAGAAAATGGGCAAACATTTGAGCGCGAAGCAATTGAAAAGTGGTTTAGAGAATGCAAGGAGAGTGGAAGAAAGTTGGTCTGCCCACTGACACTAAAAGAATTGAAAACCGCTGATCTAAAGTCTAGCATAGCTTTGAGGAACACCATTGAAGAGTGGAATGCTAGGAATGAAGCTGCGCAGCTTGATATGGCTTGTAAGTCATTGAATCCGAGCAGCTCAGAAAGTGAAGTTCTTTTGGCCTTGAAGTATGTCCAGCAAATCTGCCAGAAAAGCAGATCAAATAAGCATGTTGCACGCAATGCAGGGCTGATACCCATGATAGTTGACATGTTGAAGAATGGCAGCCGTAAAGTAAGGTGTAAAGCTTTGGAAACCCTTAAAACTGTGGTGGAGGAAGATTCTGATAATAAGGTAATACTAGATTTTTCTTATTCTCAGTTCATTTTCTATGAAATTACGAGCATGTAGGACCTCGTATTAAGTTCTCTTTGGTTGTAGGAAATATTGGCTGATGGGGATACCGTACGCACTATAGTGAAGTTCTTGTCTCATGAGCAATCCAAAGAGAGGGAGGAAGCTGTCTCTTTGCTGTATGAGCTGTCCAAATCTGAAGCCTTATGTGAGAAGATTGGTTCAATTAATGGAGCGATTCTTATGTTAGTTGGAATGACAACCAGCAAATCAGATAACATTTTGACTGTTGAGAATGCTGAAAAAACTTTAGAGAATCTGGAGAAGTTTGAGAACAATGTGAGACAAATGGCTGAAAATGGTAGGCTGCAGCCTCTTCTGACACAAATTCGTGAAGGTACTTGCACTTTCTTTTATCTTTAGACTTTGCTCAGCATGTTGCTAAATGTAATGTAGCCAAACAGCCAATGCTCCTTGGTTAATTTCTTTCACATTTAGACGTGGGCCACGTGGCTGCAAATGTGGAAAATAACCATTCTTATTGTCTTTGTTTGAGAAGGAAAAAAAATCGTGTTGAATTATATTATGCTGTGGTGTTTGATCTAAGTCAATTCATCGTATTTATGGGGAAATTTCCATTTGTTGTTTACTATAATACTTAATGTAGTTGTCCAGTCTTTGTTTACTTCTTGGTCTAAACTCTAGTACACATTAATACATCTCTCCCCCCTCGGATTATTGTAGTTCATGGGGTTTGTCTATTGAGCAGATAATTCAGATATTCCTAATGGACTTTTGGCATAAGTTTGAGCTATACTTCTCTTTTCTTGTTTTGGTAATTTAAACCAAGATACTCATTTTTAAATTTCTCAAATGAAACACAATATGTTTCTGGTTAATGTGTTGAGCGTCAACTCTTATTTTCCTTGATGATATGATTGCAGGCCCTCCAGAAACCAAACTGTCCATGTCTAATTTCCTTGGTGAGCTAGTTTTGGACAATGATATAAAGGTCTTAGTGGCTAAAAGTGTGGGTTCATCTTTGATCAATATCTTGAGAAGTGGTAATATGCAGTCAAGAGAAGCTGCTTTGAAAGCTCTCAACCAAATTTCATCTTGTGAGGCAAGTGCCAAGGTGCTGATAGAGGCAGGAATACTTCCGTCTCTGGTCAAAGATCTCTTTACTGTTGGAACTAATCAGCTTCCTATGCGACTGAAAGAGGTTGCTGCAACAATTCTTGCTAATGTCGTTAACTCAGACTATGATTTTGATTCCATCCTGGTTGGACCTGATCACCAGACACTAGTCTCAGAAGACATAGTCCATAACCTACTACATCTCATTAGCAACACTGGCCCAGCAATTGAGAGCAAGCTTCTCCAAGTTCTTGTTGGGCTCACTGGCTCTCCTTCTACTGTTATTAGTGTCATTGCCGCCATTAAGAGCTCCGGTGCCATTATTAGTTTGGTGCAGTTTATTGAGGCTCCACAAAAGGAATTGCGTGTGGCTTCCATTAAACTTCTCCGGAACCTCTCCCCACATGTTGGTCAGGAACTAGCTGATGCCCTACGTGGCACAGTGGGCCAACTTGGCAGCCTAATTAAAGTCATATCGGAAAATATTTCAATCACAGACGAACAAGCAGCAGCCATCGTCCTCTTAGCTGAACTTCCAGAGAGGGATCTAGGCCTCGCCCGGCAGATGCTAGATGATGGTGCCTTTAAGCTGGTGTATTCCAGAGTAGTTAAGATCCGGCAAGGGGGGAGTAAGGGCGGTCGCTTTGTGACACCATTTCTAGAAGGACTTGTACGGGTTCTAGCAAGGGTTACACTTGTGTTAGCTGATGAGCAAGATGCAATTGCACTGTGTCGTGAGCTTAATCTTGCTGAACTCTTCATTGAACTTCTACAAACCAATGGACTGGACAATGTACAGATGAGTTCTGCCACAGCATTGGAGAACTTATCACAAGAATCCAAAAATTTGACAAGATTGCCTGAGTTGCCTACACCCGGTTTTTGTGCCTCAATCTTTCCGTGTTTTAGCCAACAACCTGCCATAAATGGATTGTGTCGGCTCCACCGCGGGACATGTTCACTTAAAGAAAGTTTTTGTCTCTTGGAGGGACAGGCAGTGGACAAATTGGTGGCTCTTCTTGACCACACAAATGAGAAGGTGGTTGAAGCAGCACTTGCAGCACTCTCCACTTTATTGGATGATGGGGTTGATATCGAACAAGGTGTTTTGCTGTTGTGTGAGGCAGAGGGGGTGAAACCTATTCTTGACGTGCTATTAGAGAAACGGACAGAGAACCTGAGGAGGAGGGCAGTCTGGGTAGTTGAGAGACTATTGCGGAGTGATGAGATAGCGTATGAAGTTTCTGGAGATCCAAATGTCAGTACTGCACTTGTAGATGCCTTCCAGCATGCTGACTATCGAACCCGACAGATAGCTGAACGTGCCCTGAAACATGTTGACAGGTTACCAAACTTCTCTGGTGTCTTTCCAAACGTGGGATAGGCATATTCCACTGGCTGTATTGTTATGGTTTGCGAAGCTGCAAATGGAGGGTATATATTGTTTACTGATTTTTCATTTGTTTTGAAAACTGTTCATTGTTTTTAAGGATGATTTGTCCATCAACTTTCTGTTCTGCTCATGAACTGCTTTTTGTGTAGCATTTGGGTATTAAATTCTAAATTTGTTTTATGCTTTCTAAGATAATTTTTTCAGTAAACTTAATAATCTCGGTTTACCATCTGTTTCTGAGGCTGGTATCTCTTTTGACCTTTGAAATGAAGTTCTGATCTCGCCCATGTCATCAAAACATGCTTTGATTGATGCCTGAGATTTAAAACTCATTTTGATTATATGAGCACTACATACCGATAACGATAAGAATGGACCAGTATAAATTAACCAATAAATATATATAAATTGTTTGTATAAAGCAAATAGTTTGTTAGCAGGCTATGCATATCACTGAACGGATCGGAATCAGAATGCTCCATCTCCATGTATCCAGAGTGCATACTGCACCGCTGACAACCAGAGCCAAAGGGAACCCAACCCTATTAAAATTTTAAAAGGCTTGAAAGTGCCCAAAAATGTTGATGCTCATTTTAGAAATAATAACAGCAGGGCCAAATTCAATATAGTTACAACACATGAGGTGGAAACAATTAACATAGGGGAGACATAAATTACAGAATCAATTTTATGAATGTTGGTGAACAAATAACATCCAAGACTACATGAGCATACCTTATCTCTCTATTCGAGGTTTTATTAAGAACCTCCATTCAAATCTACACCAGGATACAAAATGATTACACCGAGAGGATTCAACATCAAATTTGCCAGTAGCAGGTACGTCCAAAGTGCTCGTGAGTGAGAGTTCAAGATCATGTGTGTAATTTTCTGTTTCTGCAAATTACAACGCGCGGAGAACTTTACAAGCTGTGCACTTACAGATGTAGTACAGCCATTGATTTAGTCGAGCACGAAGAAGCATCCAGTTCATGAGTTACATGGTTCCTTGAGATATGACTCCATTTCATCTCCATATCAGACACATCACATACAGTAAAAAAATCCAATACTTGACCAAATATTTTGAACATCTCAATGCCAAATATCATGTTCCCGTCTGCTACAAACGCAGCATTCCAGTCCATTGGAGCATCAGGATGCACTGAGACCTCAGTCCAGTTAAGGTACATGAGATCCAGCTCCCATACTTTTCTAACAGCCTTGTTTCTCCGGCCTATCTGACCATCCCCTTCACACCAGAAGACAGAAAGCATGAAAAGCCGGCCATTACAAGATACTAATTTTGGGTAATATTCATGGACACGGGGTGGGAAAGGAGAGGTTTGGATTCCAATCCAGAAACCCCTTTCTATGTCATATCCTGCGAGCTTATCACTTTCGGAATAAACATAAAACATCCCATTACAAACAACTCCAGAACAAACAATCCCAAAGTCCACAGGCAACCCTTGAATTTCTGTCCATTTCTTAGAGACAGAATCATATATTTCTCCAGAATCTAAAGGCTCATCCCATGATCCAAGACCGCCTACAGCAATGATCACAAACCTTCTATGACTCTTCATGGATGAGTGATCACTTTTCTGCTTTATAAATTTATATGACTTTCTATTGGGCAACAATGAAGACTCATTTTCATCAACAGCATATCTGCATTGACGCCTAAGAGAAAGCCTGTGAGGATCTTCATAAACATCTGACACTCCACCTAACCGTGATCTGGGAATACGTCTATCTTGGCGATTTTGATAACTTTGACTGGTGGAAAAATCTGAAGTGACCTCAGAAACTCCTAAAATAGGCATTGATCTTGCATACTTCATAGGTGAAACTTTACGCCAAGATTTAGTTAAGGGACTGAACAGCATTACCCCTTTGTGTGTCTTAAATGAGCTCCTATCCACCCTCCCAAAGTTGTTCAAGCTTGAGCAACCACCAACAATGTAAATATCATCTTGGATACTAGCAACAGAAAACATGAACCTCCCCTTTAGAATATCAGCACCTATCACATGCCATTGGTTTAGAGACACATCCAATGCATAAATCTCACCAGAGCAATAACCATCTTTAACAGCACCAAAATAAACAGCCATGGATTCTGATGTGAGCCTTCCCGTCTCATCTGCAGGAACCGAGGAGTAGTAGTCAAGTGTCTCCATTTCTTGCATACAAGGCGTGCAGTCATGAGAGTGGTTAGCGGAAGCCTCACCAAGCACATTTCCAATATGTCATCTGGAAGAAAAATGTGCATTCTGCTATTTCTTATTGATTCTTCAAGCTCAAAATCCTTTCTGTTATGTTTCTTCCAAAATCTCTCCCTTACCCCATACGAGAAGCAGTCCATTCCAGATTCCTCGGTACCACATATCGGTCTGTATCCCTTGCCTTCATCGCTGGCACTTGACCTCCTCCGGTTACTCGGATCCCCAAAATCATCCCCTGTGTCAGCACCTACTTTGCAACCCCCACCCCTACCATACAGAGTAAGACACCTCAAAGATATTCCCCTGGCATCATCCTCCTCTTCTCCTCCAGGTCTCTGATTCTTCTTCCTCAACTTCTGGCTAACACTTCTCATCAGACGCTTTGACACACTCAAAGCTTCAAAATCCTGGCGAAGAGATTCTTCACCAGAGAGTCTCTCCGAATACATTCTGTTCTATAGTCATTAGCACGCAAAGGCATGCACTGTCTTACAAATGTCATGAACCCTAATAGAAGCAAAATCATAAGCATAAGATAATAATCAAGAGTGCAAGCCCAGAAGGGTGAATTAAAACACAGATCTCCATATATTTATGGCAACCCCAAAATGTAAATGGAATAAGAGCAATGAAACCATGTGCAGCATATTCAAGATATGGTTGGGGTTGTTAAACACTATATCCTTGAAAGTAAAAGGAAATGTTATTCCTTTTAAGCTACATGAAAAGAAATTTTATTTCTGAAACGAAACTCAGTATTGTACAACCACTGAAGTCCTTGGACCTCAGGACAAGAATCCTCATAAACACATTTCCATCTCAGAACCCAAAAAACCAAAGGAAACATATACTCAAAACTTGCACAAAAACTATATAACAAACACAAGTCAAAGATTAAAATTAAGAATTACTTTTGTCCTTTCCGGGTTTTACCATCAGTTTTCTCGGCAACCAAACACAGAGCAAAGAACTAGCTCGGAATAAACTATGGGTGTAACAACACATTCAGTCAAATTCCACATAGGAGGAGTTAAAAATTACACTAAAACAGAACAAATACCCAGCAAGAAGACGAAATCATCATGAATTGATAATTTTAATATACTAGATGATCCAATAACATTCAAATCCAAATGAAATGAACAAATAATAATAATAAATAAATAAAAAGATAGGTAGTCCATTTGGTTGCCGATAATTGAGAAAACAAATGAGAAGCAAAAAGCAGCAACTCACTGGAATCAGCACCCTAATGAGATCAACATTTTGAGATACGAATGCGAACGCCGTAAACAGAAATGAAAAACGAAAAAGCCATGTGTTTGGTTGCCGAGAAACAAAGAGAAATAGAAAGAAAGGAGAAGTAAATTGGAAAGAGGCACGTTCGAATCGATTGATTTGGAATAAATTGAAAAGCAAAAGCCAAAGATGAAAAGGCAAAAACTTACAAACGCAGAGGTGCTTTGCCTTAAGCAGAGCAAAGCACTGTTGCAGTGAGCGATCTGAGGTGAGCTGTAAGATTGAACAATAGAGAAGAAGAAGGTAAAGAGAGAGAAAAAGGAGGAGGCTCAATCTGATGAGATTCTCGTATTAAGAAATTCGATATTTCGAATTTTTTAATCAAAAGAAATCGTAAAAGATTGATTGAATTTGTTTATCTTTTTTAATTTATAATGGGAATTTAATTAATTAAAGAATATTTAGAGTGGTAGGTTGTGGTCGTGGTCGGGGCTGGATTTAGTACAGTGACGTGGCCTTTCACTTGATCCACTTCATTGATCAAATTCTAAAAGGGGAATATAATGAGTAAATTTTTCCTCCATATTTTTGCTTATCACACTTAATTTTAGGGTAATTTTATTTGGACCCATCAATCCTATTTTTTGGTCTAACACTAATTTTAAAAATGAATAATTTATTTTACCCTAATATGTAATTACTGTTAAGGACAAAGAACATTTAAAATATAGAATAAATCTTATCACTAGACCCATCATAACAATATACGTTCCTGCAATCCGAGTCAGACTTATTTCTCATACTTGTTCTCCAACTATCACGTCGAGATGATGTAGCCTCAGTAGTACCTCTACATGTCCTCTTCATATCTACAATATGTACATATTTGATATTAAAACAATATTAAGTTCAATAGTATCTAACATAACTACACTTTTATTGTGATTTCCTAATCAACTAGTTTGCTTTCTTTAAACATTAGAGTAAAATTCGAGAAATTGTATAGAAAAACAAACTCAAAAACACCAAAACATAAAATCCATAACAGCTTGATGAGCTGAAACTGAAACTACTACAAATATTCAGCGCATATAGTGTACATATTCAGCAATGGATTTGTGATTGAGGTGACATGCGGTGGCGTTGGATGTGGATGGTGGAGTGGTGGCGTTCTCTTTCATAAGCAAGTAGTATAAGCCATTAAATTGTTTCCCCAGGCCAATCATCCTCTTCCAAGCCAGGTCCTGTAAGACACAAAAGGTAACAAATAATTGAATAAAAAAATTAAGACTAAATGTAAGTTTGCTAATAGAAAGTAAATTAACATGAAAGGAAGGCACACAAAGAACTTCATCAACAGATAAGTTTGGAACCAAAGATAAGGAACTAAGGCCACTGATTTTTGCATGGAACCCATTAGGAAGATCAACACTGGAGTTGAGTGAGGTAGTAACAGATAGCCTGGAAGGAGGCGAAATGTGATCGATGGCTCCACTGTCAAGTATCCAAGGATTTGTGGATGATGAGGCCGTGAATGCATAAAAGAAAGGCATTTTACCTATTAAATTAGCACGAGGTTTACCATCACAAAGCAAAGACTTAAGTTTAGCGTACTCCTCAAAGGAAAATTTGAAACCTTCTTTGGCATGTAGTGGAGTGGATTGTGTTTGATTTGCCGTGGATGGTTTCTTTGATTGATTGGGTAGCTTAACATATTTGCCATGACTTTTATGCCCAGGTGGAAAGCCATGTAAATAGAAACATCTATCAACCAGATGGGTGGTATCCTCACAATAGGTGCTGTTGACGCAGAAAAATGGTTTGACACTTTCCCGCGCAACTTAGATATGCTGGGCCTTCGGTATTCTCTGGGCCTCGGTAGGGCGTTCGATCTGCAAGATAGCAAACGCTCGGTAAGACCTAGGGCACCGGTGTGGTACCGGCCGAAGGCTCTCCGATGCTTAAGTAAGTATGGATTTAGTAAGTTTGAACTACAGATTAATAGGCAGTATGCCGTGAGTTCTGATTGATTACCTCCAAGCTGGGATAGTTGTCCTCTTTTATAGGCCTTGGGAGGTGTGCAATTTGTTTAGAGTTTCGATGTGAGATTGTGGACATCAATTGTGGGACTGCCACGTGTCCCTGGGGGTGAGGTTGCCCTAATCGTGCGATCGGTAGGCATGATACCGAAGCTAGGTGCCGAAGGCTCCCATAGCTCTAGTTTGGTCCACATGTCCGATGTTCATTGGCTGTTCATTTGCTTTTTTGAGCAGTTTGTTTGGAAGAGTTGGTCTTTTGTACTTTGGAGTTGCTCGAGGAGGATGAGCCAGGAGGCTTGTACATTTTGTTACTCACGTTCATGGCATGAGCGACGTTAGATGAAGTATGTTCATGGCATGTAGAGGATGGATGAAAAACGTATGAACTCAATATAGGTTTGAATTCAATTAGAGGGTTTGGGATAAACAAGAAACCACCAGATCGGTGGCTCTGATACCAAGTAGAAATATATGTTTAGGTAAAACTGATTCAATTCTATTCATCTCCATAATGAACTATTTATATGTTTAGATAGGGTTTTACAGGTTTAACAAGGAAACAAAATAAACTAGGAAACAAAGTCCTAATTGTACAAGAATTAGTCAACTACACTAATTAGGAAATCACTTTCCTGAACTCATGCACACGCCAACACTCCCCCTCAAGTTGGAGCATAAATGTCACCAAGGTCCAACTTGCTCAGCGTGTCCTGAAATACTCGGCTTGAAACTGCTTTCGTCAAGATATCTGTCAACTGATCTTCTGACTTTACAAATAGGAACTGAAGTGTCTTGTCTTCTAATCTTTCTTTGAGGAAATGCCTATCCACTTCAACATGTTTCTTCCGATCATGTTGAACTAGATTATGAGCAATATTAATGGCCGCAATATTATTGCAATATAATTTCATGGATTTTTTAGGCTTAAAACCTAACTCCGTTAGAACATGCTTAATCCATAACAACTCACAAACACCATGTGCCATACCTCTATATTCTGCCTCCGCACTTGATCTTGCAACAACATTTTGTTTCTTACTACGCCAAGTAACAAGGTTACCTCCTATAAAAGTAAAGTAACCTGAAGTGGATCGTCTGTCTATTTGGGACCCAGCCCAATCCGCATCTGTATACCCAATTACATCCAGATGTCCTTGCTTTGAATGCATTAACCCTTTACCAGGAGTTGATCTCAAATATCTCAAGATGCGATTCAATGCATCTCTATGGACTTCACTTGGAGAGTGCAGAAACTGGCTTACAACACTCACAACATGTGTAATGTCCGGTCTCGTATGTGACAAATAAATTAACCTCCCAACTAGGCGCTAGTATTGGTCCTTGTTAGTTGGTTTATGATCAGTACACTCACCAAGCTTGTGATTTTCCTCCATAGGCGTATTAACTGGTTTAAACCTCAGCATCCCTGTTTCAGTTAATAAATCCATAACATATTTTCGTTGAGACAAGAAGATACCTTGCTGTGATCTAGATACTTCTATCCCAAGAAAATACTTAAGTGTACCAAGATCTTTCATCTCAAACTCCTTAGATAAGTACTCTTGCAATGCTTTTCTTTCGTCAGGATCATCACCTGTTACGATCATATCATCAACGTATACTATCAAAGCTGTAATTTTATTTTCCTTATGCTTCAAGAACAGAGAATGATCAAAATTACTTTGTCAACCACCCAAACCATGCTCTAGGTGACTGCTTCAAACCATACAAAGACTTCTTTAATTTGCACACGTAGTGTTTCAATTCGGAACTCAAGTTACATCTAGGCGGAGGATCCATATAAACTTCTTCTTCTAAATCACCATGTAAAAAGGCATTTTTGACATCGAATTGGTGTAATGGCCAATCCAAGTTTGCAGAAAGTGATATCAGGATTCGTACAGTATTGATTTTTGCTACTGGAGCAAATGTCTCTGATAATCCACTCCATATCTCTGAGAATATCCTTTTGCCACCAATCGAGCTTTATACCGTTCGATTGATCCATCTGCCTTCAACTTAATGGTATAAATCCATCTGCAGCCCACAGTTCGTTTGCCACTTGGGAGAGGAACAAGTTCCTATGTAGAATTCTTTTGAAGAGCTTGCATCTCATCATTCATCGCTTGTTTCCAGTTTGGATCCATCAAAGCCTCTTCTACACTGCTTGGTGTAGACAAAGAATCTAGTTGTTTGATCAACATGGTATGTGGTGCGGACAATCTATGAGTGGAAACATGGTTGCTAATCGGGTACTTCACTTTAGCTTTGGGATCCACTTCATATTGAATCGTTGGGATACCACGATTCTTACGAACAGGTAATTGGTATGGTTGTAGATGTATCTCATTAGATGGATTGTCTGAAAACAAATCAGTTAAATATAAATCTTCAACATCAATGTTCTGGGATGTTACCTGGGTTGTAGGTTCAAAAGACACCTCTGAAGATAATTGGTTAAATGGTATATAAACTTCAGAAACGGGCATCAATACATCATTCTTCTCCCCCTGACCGGGTGACTGGGTTGTGGGTGAGGAGACCAACTGTGACCGGTCATCAAGACTTTCGTGCATGGTTTCTGGAGTGGTATTTGACGAGTCGGTTAGTGCATCCTGAACTGTTGGATGACATAACGACTCCAAAGTAACGAATCCTTGCAGGTCGAACTGATCATCAACAGTATCTGGACTCACCTGTGCCTGAACTCCCCCAGAAAAATACATTTCTTCTTCTCGATAAACCACATCCATAGTGATGTAGAGCTTCTGAGTAGGTGGATGATAGCAGCGATACCCTTTTTGATGTTGGGCATAGCCAATAAACACGCACTTAAGTGCTCGAGGCTTCAACTTATTGCACTGATGCGTATAAAGGTGAACAAAAGTCACACATCCAAAGACTCGTGGCTCCAAATTGGGAGTGGAATGAAAAGCACAAAACTGACGAAGGGCTTGTAATGGTGTTTGGAAGTTCAAGACACTGGAGGGAACCCAATTAATAAGATACGCAGCAGAAAACAAAAAAAAAAAAAAACAAATGAGCATCAAACAATGAAGCTCGAACCACTTCTAACAAATGACGATTTTTGCTGAAGGGTATATGGACATGTTCGCTGATGTTCAATTCCATGAGCTTTCTAAAAACTGACAAAGATCATGATTCACAAATTCACCCCCATTATTAGAACGAAGGATCTTAATTTTTACATGAAACTGAGTGTCTACCATCTTGTAAAACTGTTGAAATGTGGTACACACCTCCCCTTTGGTTTTTAAGAGAGAAATCCAAGTCATACGTGTGCAATCATCAATAAAGGTAACAAACCAACGAGCACCAGAAGGAGTAGAAATTGGAGCAGGACCCTAAACATCAGAATGAACAATTGTAAACGGCACCGTACTTTTATTCATACTCAAAGGGAGGGAAACTCTATGGCTTTTTGCCAGTTCACAAACATCACACTTAAAATTAAAATCTGAAAGTTTACTAAACCATGAAGGAAACAACTTTTTAAGGTATCCAAAGGAGGCATGACCCAACCGTCTATGCCATAACCAAATAAAATTATGATTTTTCTCGGTCGAATCTCCACTAGTCTTGAAGGCTTGAGAAATCTGAGTCTCACCACTTGGTGCCAAATCCAGAAAATACAGCTTGCCCCTTCTAGTACCATAACCAATTATCTTCCTTGTGAGAATGTCCTGAAAAATACAACAATTTGGCCAAAACGTTACAGTACAAAAAGGAGCATGAGTAATTTGCGCAACAGATAGCAAATTAAAATCCAATGATGGCACAACAAGTACTAAATCCAGGTGCAACGAATCTGTAAGGGATAAAGAACCCTCCCCAACAACAGGAAAGGAACTACCGTTAGCATTAGATACTACCGACTGTGAAGATGGAGACAAAGATGTGATTTTATTCGAATCACATGTCATATGATCAGAGGTGCCTGAATCAATAATCTAGACATTATTGGTGGGTGAGGTGGAAGAAACATTCAATGCATAACCGGTTGTACCTGATGTAGCCATGGACGCAGATGCAGAAGTATGTTCATTTGATTTGTTGCCACTTACAGGGGGGTCTTTGGAGTAGCAGAGGCTTGGAGTGCCTTATGACCACTTCTTTTATTCTTAGAATGATCCCACCAAGATGGAAAGCCAACTAATTCATAACAGTGTTCACGAGTGTGCTTTGAACCACCACAATGAGTGCACTTGAAAACTGGTTTGTCCTTGACCCCCTGGGTCGAGGAACTCCCATGAGATGAAGGTGGTCCCTTAGAACGTTGAGCCACCATGACAGTAGCATCAAGAGAGGCGGCAGCACCAGTAAAATTGGCGCGTTGTTGTGCATCACGACGAACATAAGCAAAACTTTGGTCGAGATCCAGTTTAGGTTCCTTGCGGAGGATTTCACTACGGACTTGATCAAAGTCGGGATCCAATCCAGAAAGAAAAATATGAACTCGAAGACGGTCGAGTTTTTTCTGGTATGCATCAGTGTCAGCAGCGCACACCATAGATGGGGGGTCGCGATGATCCAGTTCCTGAAAAAAAACTCTGAAGCATGATATAATATTTGGAAACAGGTTGGCCATTCTGTTTGAGGGTGAATGGCTTCCTGTTCAATTTGTAAACTTGAGATTCGTCGGATCCATCATAGAATACTTTCTTGACAGCAGCCCAAATCTCCTTGGCAGTGCAAAGACGAATAAAGCAGCCCATCAACTCAGGGGACATAGAATCAATTAACCAACCTTTGACTCGTAGATTTTCAGTGGTCCACGCATCAAACGTAGGAGCAGATTCGGCTGGCATAGCAATAGAGCCAGTAAGATATCCCAACTTTCCATGGGTAGCAATTCGAATTTCCATGAGTTGAGACCAAAGACCATAATTGGTCTCATTGAGAATAACTCCTATAGGCAACGCATAATTATCATTCTGGATGGTGACAATCTGTGGAACCGACGAAGTTGGAGGTTGTGCAGCGGAGGTCTAAGAACTATGCGGGAGAACAAGGGATGCCTCGGGTGTTGTCATCGCAGCAGAAATTGATGGTGTGGAAGTATGAACTCAATATATGTGGAGGATGGATGAAAAACGTATGAACTCAATATAGGTTTGAATTCAATTAGAGGGTTTGGGATAAACAAGAAACCACCAGATCGGTGGCTCTGATACCAAGTAGAAATATATGTTTAGGTAAAACTGATTCAATTCTATTCATCTCCATAATGAACTATTTATATGTTTACATAGGGTTTTACAGGTTTAACAAGGAAACAAAATAAACTAGGAAACAAAGTCCTAATTGTACAAGAATTCGTCAACTACACTAATTAGGAAATCACTTTCTTGAACTCACGCACACGCCAAAACCTCCTTCATAATCATGGAATAAGCCTTCTTAAAGAAGGGACAAATTGCATCAATAAAATTTGGCCTCGAATGGTTGTTTATGAGTCATTGAGACCCATCAAAAATTGTACAACTTGCTCTTCATCCTCGCGTGCTTGCAATACCTTTAAAGCTCCATAGGTGTAGTGTGGTATAGTTGATAAGAGCCCAATTCATCTCAAAGGGATTTCAATTTTGTGTAGTATTGGCAGAAGATTTGCTGCCCTTGTTTGTTTTCAGTGATGGTCCTTCGAATCTAAAAAACAAGAGTGAGATTAGTCCTAGCATTCTTGTCATGTTTGCAATGTTCATGTCAACTTGTTTTTCTTAACAGGTTGACACAACAAGACACGTTAAGAAAATAAGTAAAAAATATCAAACACAAACACGACCCGTTTTCACTCGTTAAGAATAAAATAAATAATAATAATAAAATAAAACATAAAACAAAATAATTATATAAATAATAAAAAAGAATCTAGCGTGCAATGCCTTTGGTGGGGAGGAAATAGATCTAGAGAGAGAGAGAGAGAGAGAGAGAGAGAGAGGTGTTAAGGGATAGCAACAAGATCAAAACCAGGGAATATAAATATGAAATGTTTCTATAGGCAAAGGAAAAGCAGTAGCATCGGTGCTATCTCTAAGAAGAACAAATCTCAATTGACTACTCACCTAGCTGCTACCTCTTTCGGCTTGGATGTCACCCAACCCACCACCCTTATTGCATATGGGGATGGGGATTTCAATTCTTTTTATGGGAAAGGTGATGGTGATATTTGCTCAAGTGAATAGTTTGATACTGAACAAGGAAGCCATGGTAGCTAACTGTATGTTCTTGTTGTCTAACAAGTTGGGGAGAGAGAAGGGGAAAAAGAAAACACAAAAAGACAAATATGAAATTGCAAAAATACCCCTGATCTTAACGTGTATTTGTGAATCGACAAGACACGACACGTTATCTTAATGTGTGGCTAACGGGTTAACATGATATCAACACGACACGATAACCTAGAACCGATATAATTTTTTTTTTTTTTTTTTTTTTTTTTTTTTTTTAATTAGTGTTAATTCGTCGTGTTAACGTGTAGTGATATATGCTAGATGCTAAGTGAGATGGCCAACAAAGAATCTATCATGCAGATCACTCCAAACTTCAGTATGGGTGTCAACATATAGATGATGCTGTTAGCAAGGGCTGGGGAGATGACATTCAACAACCAAGCCATCACCATATCGTTGCAGCAACGCCATAAGGGGTATTTGGAATCTTTTTCAGAGAGAGGTTTGATAGTGCCATCAACAAACCCTAATTTGTTTTGGCACTAAGACTAATGGTGATTGTGCGGCGCCATGTGCTGTAATTATCTCCATCAAGAAGTTGGGACAATAACAAGCCCCGGATGATCCGAGTATTGCAAGAAGTAGGGATCAGTATGATCCATGGTTTCTGTTTGGGAGGTTTTGCTAGTGTCACCTATGAAGAGTTAGACGGCTAGGGTTTGTAAACAAAGAGACACCTAGAATCGGTGCTATGATACCATGTCAAATTGATATTGTGTTTGAGAAGAACAATTCTTCGTTATATTGATAGAGCCAAAAGGCTAAGTATTTATACAAAGATTTACAAACCCTACAAGGAACTACTCCTAAATCAATTACAAAAAATAAAATAAAGAAACTTCCTAATTTCCAACATGGTACATGTGTGTGTGTGTGGCTTACAAAGTTTCTTTTTCTAATTTTGCAATTGTATTTTTCTAGATAGTCGTCTTAAAAGTTTTCTTTTATCACCTGCGTTTTCTAGATGTCTGTCTCAATATTTTACGCCGATAAAAGAAAAAAAAGAAACTAATAATATTTTATAAACTGTGATTAAAAAATCCCTCTTGCACGCACGTGATTAAGAGCTATATTCTATTAATATATTAGAAGCTTTAAGTTTGAACACTTGATGAAAACAAAAGTACGTTTGAAATTGAACATGCAAGTTAATTTTCCACCCAAAAATTGCTAATGACATAAATTAAAAAATATTTCTCCAAATGATAAAGTTAAACTCAAAGATTTGATACACACACCCCCCAGAGGTCTAATTGTTGAGATTAATTTTGTCATTTCAAGAAGTTTATTGAATAAAATCATCAATTTTTCGACTGGAAAATAAAAGGAATGAGTTTTGTGAAAATAATTTGAAACCTCAAGGTGTTAGTACAATTTCTAAAATCTAAAGGGTTTTGTGAAAATACCATAAACCTTAGGAGGTCTTAGTGTAAATAACTTTTCAACTTCCCCAAATTCCAAAATCTCCAATGCTCCTTCCCGATGATCTCGCCGTTGGGAGCCCTACCCTAGCCCTAAATTTCGACACATACAAGGAACACATCGAAGAGGATGAGAGGTTGGGTGGAATTGTTTTTTCTTTGTTTCTTAAAAATATATTCTTATTTTTAAATTTTTACGACTTTTATATATTTAGTTTTCATTGTCCTGAAATTTACCAATTTGCTTTTACTATTGATAGAAAATTGGACGATATTTTAAAAATTATTGGCCATGGATATATCCTTGATTTAAATAAATTAAAAAAAGGTCAATTTCAAATCGGGTTAAAATTAATTTGGTTTTCAACACATACGCAAGTAGATTAATAAGCTCCTTCATTTTCTCTCCAAGAATTGTACTTGTATGTAAAGATATAAAGATAGGATTTCAGTTGAGGGCTCGTATATATATAATATATTCATCTCATCTCTCCCATCAGTTTGCCACGCGTGGGTGTGATTGCTTTCTATCGTGATCTGCAGGTATTATAAGCTTCAGATTTCATAGTAAATTTCCTACTTCTCGTGATTGTTGAAATTTCGTTTATCTGCAATTAGGACGCACGGCCGTGGAGAAATAATATATAAATAATTAGGTTGGCCTTTCAGACTTTTACGAGTTGGTGTTGGTTGTATGCATGCAAATTGCAATTAATTATTGTAATCTAGGGTTCGTTTTTCTTTTTGTCAATCTCTCCTAGCAAATCTCTGTTTTCTTGTAAAACTAAAACCCCTCCAGTTTTTGTGTTGGGGAGTCCTTATTGGTTACTTACTTATTATTGAGATTTATTTTTTATTGTAGTTTAAATTTATTTCCTATTGTATTTAAGGTTAACACATCTTTATAATTCTTTATAAATTACCTACTTTTTTTGGACATTTTGCAAGTCAATTTTTGTAAAACCAAAACCTAATAATGTAGGATTGCGTTCGTCTGTTGCTGTTGAGCAGTTGAATAATTAAAAACTCTTTCATCGACAGGTTGGTTGACGCAAAAGGAAAGGAACAATTTTATAAGATCAATCATGCCGAAGAAGCATCCGTTTATGTATATGCAGATGAACGATAACCTATGCTTTCTGGATATCAGTAAATTATTGGCATGGAGCTCTTTGGACAAGTCTCAGAGGCCTCGAAGGCCTGAGTTTAAGCTTGTGCATGGTTCTTGTTTTCCAGACGGAAGAAGATTGCCGACTAAGATGGCATATATGATTGCGGATTCCAAATCATATATTAATTGTGGGGGGTCGCTTTCCTTTGCAGCCGCCCAACCTTGAGGTTTTTGCGTGTGAACCCAATCCTGATGATCCAGAGGGCCTCTGCAAGAGTAACCTTCCCGCATTGTCTGGTCCTTAATTGGATCCATTAGTGTTCACCATCGAGGACAAAATTTATGTGTTGGCCACGGAGTATCGAGGAGGGCCCGTCGAAGAAAAATCTCTAGCCCTTTTTGAGGTTTTCAATCCCATTCATCTTTGGTCATCGTGAATTCCCTAATATTTTTGCCAACGACTGGCACGTTTGGGGCCACAAGATATTGATTTCGAACTGTTGAGAGGCACACAAATATTACATCTTTAACACTCATGAAGAGAAATGGGAGGATGCATTTGAATTCCTGGATGCATCCGCTTATGGTTTTGCAGAATGTGAGGGATTTCTAGTTGGCACAGCGTGTTCTTATGTTCTTACTTATAAGTTGGATTCCCATGGCATCCCTCGACGGTATTCAGAGCTAGATGAGCTTTGGAAGATATGTCGTCCTCCTCTAGACGATAGATATACCCTCATCACCCATCTCGATGATGGTGGCCTGATGTGCATCCTGCATTTTGGAAGTGATTTAAAGTTGAAGGTGCATCCTGCATTCTGGAATCGTTTAGTGGTGTTCCAAATGTTAGTCTCAGACTATGGTTCCAATCAACATGTCGTCCATGTTGATATCAAGGCCAAACAAACTTACTGTTTCCCTCTGCTTGATTATCCACAAATCCCGTTTTGATTTTAATCCTGTGATGGCAGGGTAAAGTTTCCCATTGGTTTGAAAACCATTGGTGGTCAACAAGTCAACTTTCTTTTGTGTATGAGCGTGTCACTGCTAGCAATAAAAATCCTAGTAGACTTCTTAAAAATGGATAACTTGCGCCCCAAGTTACTGACTTTTAACAAGCAATTGTGAATTTGGGTGAGGAATATTTCCCAAGTAAGTTCTTTTATTGTCTCAAACTGGTGAGAACTTCACAAATTTTCACAGCACAAAAACTGGTAGTTCTGGCCAGAATAAATGATAAGAAAGTGAACTGTTTTAGGCAGAATTGCTTTTTACAAAGCTCAAAAAGGGAAAGACCAACTCTAAAAAAGACAAAAGAGCGTTGGACTTCAATTTCTGCCTGGATAGCTGCTTTTGATCTGGACTGGACTAGGTATGTTTGTGCTGGATTGGACCATCAACACCTTCAACTGTCAAGTTTCAACTGTAAATCGATACCAACGTTTGAGTTTGGCAAAACTTTAATCTATTTCAAGCCCTGGAAGACTTTTTGAACTGGCAGAATTAGAGCCTCTTCAGTCTAAAAAGGGCAGAAGTGGCTGGATTTGATGATTACTGAGCTGAAACTGCGCTATGGTACATGTTCTGCTTGATCAGGGCTTTCCATAAATTTGTTAAGGTTTTCATATTTGTAAAAACTCGGACTCTGCTTGATTTGGTTTATGCTGAACCAAATTTGTAACGAGAGAAATCTCGCTTTGTAAAACTGTTTCTCTGAACTGAACTGAAATCAGAGATTTGAATTCTAGCTGACTTGTTTCTTGTGGCTCAATGAGCTTTGGTTGCTTCAGTGTTTGAAGGCTTTTGAGATCAATGGATCTTTTTGAGTTTGTCAATTGTGACTTTGAGAATTTTTGTCTTGATTGATTTTTTTGTTGTCTTTGATCTGTTCACCTCCTCTCATATTTATAGAAAATGCCGAAGTGGGGTTTCTAATATTTTAATAATGGGCGGCAGATTTTCCAAAAGAAAGATCTTTTATTTTAAATGCAAACAAAAGGGGAAGTTTATCTATTCTGGCATAAAAGCTATCAACAATCAGTTCTTATGGTGATCACTTCCTTACTTTTCCTGAAAGAAAACTTAATCCCTTCTTACTCTTTAACTGCCCTTTGTAAGAATGCAATCTACCATGATGGTTAGTTTGCTTTTCCTGACGAACAACTCCATGCTCCCTACGTATCTCTTCAGAAAATGTAGTGTGCTTATCCCTTGGAAATGACACCTGCTCTGGTGCAGAATTTTTCTGTATGTAGAAATGGATTTTGATCTTTTGGCTGCAAAGATTCAGAGAAGTCTTCCTTTTATACCTGCTTTCATTAAGTCTCTGTCAACTCCTCTGTGATAGTTGAAATTTTTGACTTTCTCAAGTCAGGTAGTCACGTGGGGCTCTTCTGGGAAAACATTTTTTCAGTAAGAAAAGACCTTGCTTTTGAGATCAAGTGGCAAAATCTCTTCATAAGCTGAGTTTTAATCCAATCTCTTAGAGGTTTTCAACCTGCTTGGTGATGAATTACTATTTTAATTGGCAATTTTATTGATTGATTATTTATTTATTTTTTGTTTTTTAAACCTCTGCCACTTTTGCAAAAGACATGAGCCTCTAATGTTGATTGGGCTGCTCTTCTTTTTCTTCAAAGCTCAAGACTGTTTATTTATCATGGATTTGATAAATTTTGGGCTGGGCTCGCAGAATTCGAGAAATTAGTCTAGGTTTTTTCTATTTTGGGCTGCTCTTTAGTTTCTTTTAAAACATCAAGCCCAAGCTGTGCTCATGTTTGTGGGCTACTTAAATAGGCTGAGCTTCACAGAATTTAGGCCCAAATAATTTGTCACGTAAGCAATTATGATTCTCAATTAAGTTTAAGACCATGTGAAGTTACATATATAGAGTAGAAGTTTTAATGAAGTAAACAAACTTAGTTTCGATCTTCTTGTCATTTTACAGGCATGATCATTCAGACAAGCATGACAATAAGTGCAATGCAAGTGTAAGGAAGAATGAAATGCCTAGGTCATTTGTAATTCACTGTGCTTTGTGTGACTTGGTTTTCTTTATTTTCATGCAATTTATTTTTAATATATAATAAGGGCATATTGTGACTTGGGCGAGTGTGGTGATTTGTTTTGGAACAGCCCGCATTTGGTACGAGGCACAAGAAGCAGTCCAAAGTGCCTATGATGAAACTACAACCACCTAGGCGCAAACCAGTAAGTAGTCTAAAGAAACTAGATATATTTTGGTTTTGGTTTGCTTGAATTTTGTTTGTGTGTATGCTGAAACTTAATTGTTTGATGCAGAAAAAGAGATTGAAGACCATATTGAATGAACATATGGATATCGAACAATTGAAGGTCCTGGTACACCAAACACTTGAGCCTCGCTGCTGGAGTCACAGGCCCGTATCTTCTGAATTTGCAGCCTCTTCCTGGATGCATGACTCGAAATGCACGACTCGAAAATGAATGAATGAATGGAATCAGGACCCGTATCTTCTGAATCTCCAGCTTCTTCCTGGATGCACGAGGCTAGAGAATGAATGAATATAATGGGACAATAATGATTGAAGTCTGAATGCAGATAGATAGAGATGTATATATTGTAAGCATGCAAGCATTTTATAAGCAAAGTGTGCTAAAATATGAGAACTATGATAGGATATTTGTTTGTGGGAATTTTCTGTGTATTCTTCTCCTTGTAGGAGATCATATTTATAATACAACAAAACCTGAATGGGCAAGTAAATAATAAATTCCTAAATCTATTTGCAGTAGGAAATCAGGAATTAAAGTAAATCAATTACCATTATAATAGGAATCCTTAATGTGTAAGGAAAGTAAGTCAATATCCACAAGTCACGCCAACACTCCCCCTCACGTTGGTGCATAGATGTCGCCAATGCCCAACTAATTCAGTGAATTGTGGAATGCTTTACTGGAAATCGCCTTTGTCAAAATATCCGTCAATTGATCCTTGGATTTCACAAAGGAAACTGAAACACTTTAGCCTCAAGCTTCTGTTTGATGAAGCGTCGATCCACCTCAACATGTTTAGTACGATCATGCTGAACCAGATTCTGTGCAATGGCTATAGCAGCCTTGTTGTCACAAAAGAGATTCATTGTGGATGTAGGTTTATACCCAAGTTCAGTAAGCAACTTTGTGAATGTAGGTTTTATGAAATATCAACTTTCAAACCAAAGAAGTTCACAAATCCCTTTAGTCATGCCTCTGAACTCGGCTTATGCACTGGATAAAGCTACTACATTCTGTTTCTTGCTTCTCCATGTCACCAAATTACCTCCCACTTGTAGATCCACTAGATTAACCGATCAAATTGTTTTTTCTTATTAGATCGGGTGTAGACTAATTTGATCCATCTCCAAGTTATATACATGTATCAGCTATCTAATAAATATATAAGTCTGTACGAATGATATTCTAAATTAGTTCAAATTAAATTTACGGGAATAAGGATTCGATCGGGAGTTGGATACAAAGGAGCGGACTCAAGGTGTTGGGTAATTGCCCCATGAACTCGTAGCTTATTTTCAATGTACCCTACAAATTTAGGTGGCAAGGGTATTTCACTTCTTTTTTCTCAATTAAAAAAAAAGGTATGGGCAAAGGAATAAGATTAAGCCAATTAATTACCTTTTGATAGACAGGAGGGGTTGGTTGACCGAGTGAATCCGGACCCAGCTATCAGCCCAGAGTATAGTAATAATCAGAGTCAGTCATTACAATTTCACTGCAATTCACCCTTACAGCGCTCGAGAGAGGAGAAGAAGAAGAAGAAGAAGAAGAAGAAGAAGAAACGGCCGATGGGAGGAGGGTCAATGGTGGTGAGGTTGGTTTTGATATTTACAATTTTGTCCGTGGCTTCTTCCATCGATGACAAATGCGCTGCGTGCAATGCGGTCGCGGTAAAGTCTCGTTTCTTTTCGCTGTCATCTTCTTCTTGTTTCCCATTTCTGCAATTTGAAAATTGAAATTCCGGATCTTGTAAAAAAAGAAAAAAATGAAACTCTTTTCATGGAATGAAATTTAATTCCGGTGTCAAATGGAACTTTGCAGGAGGAGCTCGAGTTGGGACTTTCCAACGTAAGATTTTTAATTCATATGCTTTTCAATTTTGCAAAGTCTATATACATTGCATTAGTTTCTGATTCAAATTCGCAAGATTTAATTTTCCAGGAAAAACCCAGAAACCATTTGGATATGAGACACCGATTGGACTCAACTGGTCAACGGAGAGGAAAGGTAATCGATTACAGGTACTACTTGGATTGCCTCCTCCTCTCAGTTTGAATGCTCACAGTTTTATGCAATAGAATCTTTATGATTTTACGACCCAAAACAAAAGCACACTATCATTTTCACTTCTAATCGGTTTCAAGTTTTACGTATGCTTCATAACATTTGGTATCTAGCTTCGAAAGGGGCGATCTTTTGCTAGACTAAAATGCCTTTAAGTTAGATTATATATGTGCATAATGCTTAGTTATTTTACAATGGTAGGCGAGTGAACCTACCCGCAATAAGAGAGGGCTACCATCACGGGTTTTGAAATCGTGGTGGAATATTATGATCCAAATATCTCATGTTGAGAAAAATAAAAATCCTAGTCTAGTATAGTAGATGAGTTGAAGACTGTATTCTCAATACAAATCAGTAATCCAGACCGAGTTTTAGCATATAAGTCACCACTACCCCATATATGATCACTTGTTGTATAAGTTGTTTTTAGTTCACTTTCTTTTACAAGTGGTTGGTGACTTCTTCTTCAAATGTGTACCCAATAGAGTCAGTGAGCTCAGAGTTGTTGAACTCCTCGATGGAATTTGCGAAAAGATGCAGGATTATACTCTTCACGAGGTTAATGTATTTAAAATTGATTTCTTTCTGTCAAATTATGTAGTTAGTTTGTTGAAAATTATCTCATTCGGGTTTTCTTTTGCAGATAGATTCAAACAGAAAAGAGTGGATCAAAGTGGATAACTGGGATAACCTCACAATAAGTATGTATTTCTACACAAAATATTCTATAGGTGGTGTTTTTCTTTAAACTGAGGTTGACATTTTGCATGAAACAAGTGATTTCTCTGACTTACTTGTCTAGCCATCTAGCCACTAAGCAAAGGGCTAATGTGCTGTTTTTCTTTTATAATCAAAGAGAACATAATTATTAGTGTAACAGTTTGCCTGGAGAGTTCCTAGAATAACAGAAAATGCAGAAAATTTTGAAAGAAAAAATTACACTCATTCTTGTGAGTTGTTTATCTAGACCATACATCAATAAAGGGAGTTCTTATTCATTCTAAGACCACTCATTTCATGTTTTGAGCTGTTTCATGAAATTATGAGATTCTGAACAATCATATGCCTTTTGTTTTGTGTGTCTATGTGTACGTTTTTAGGTAAACAAGAAGCTAAAGCATATTCAAAGGATTTATCGACCTATTGTGGAAGGTAAGATGCTAACTTTGTTTTCCTACTTTCTTTTTACTAGAGTTTCAATTTTTAAACTTTAAACTGATTTTCCTTCTCATATGAAAAATGAGGAGTTTCAATTTTTAAGCCTCCCATGATTCAGAAGCCTAACTCGTGTATTTATTTGGGACAGATTACTTGAGGAAACAGAAGATGAGGTGACTTAATTAATACTCTTATACTTTTGCTATCAATAAAACAACTAATCAATGGTTGCATTGAGCGTTAATACTTTTGTATTCTTATTTTGAAATTGTTCTTGCAGTTGGCAGAATTGATAAAGAAAGGATCTGTAAGAGGAGGAGATGTAAGCAAGGTCTTATGTCAAGATCTGAGTGCACACTGTAGCAGGACAAGGTAAGGTTAATTCATCATAAAATATAAATATCAATGAAAGTAAGTACATATTTTTACTGCTTCCCTCCCTGGCCCCAATCATGCAAAGACCAATCAGGCCATGGTATCAAGGATACTTGATCGTTTTTCGTTACAGCAACTCAACCAGTTTCTAGAAATATGATTAATCCTGAGTCGTGACATTGCAAATCAAACCACCAATTAGAACTTAGAGCATTACTTCTCCAGTCCAGAGCTATTTTGGGTTATGCTTTCCAGCAGGGTTCCCGGAATTATTTACTGTGTCTGTCTGCAGTGCATCGCATCAGGGAAATGGATATGGTAATGGATCCGATGGAGAGCTCTGAGTTAACCACATTCACGTACTTCACCAGCAAGAAGAGATAGCACAAGCCAATTAACTTTTATTCAGAGTTTGGTCTGTTTAAGTTGTTATCAAGTGTTATGCCCAAGTGACTTGCTTATTCGGATGCCAGCAAATTTGGCTTCCAAACTTATGCGATGATATACCAATTTGTTGTCAACTTATACAAGACTGATACAAGTTAAAGACACAGAGCTAATGCATCTTTCATAGAACTCAATGGAGTTGGTTAATTTTTTTTCTTTATTTATGCATCGCTCGTGTTCCTCATAGCGCCAACATTAGCATTTATGGCCCAAGAATTGATGGTCTCCATTTCCAATCACCCAAGTCCCTCCTAAAAAGCCCCTCCCCCACCCCTAACAGGAATACCAAAACCAAGGGGAAATCCCCTCCCTGAATAATGACATTTCCCCAGAATGACATTTCCGCACAGCAATGTAAGCAGAATGAAACATTCTCCAGAACTCCTCATAATCCAAAAAGAATGTGGGCCTTAAATAGATACTCATAAAATAATCAACCCCTAAGTGCTCGTTTAATATTGATTATTTAGAGTGATAAGTGATTTTTTTAAAATTTTGGGAAGTCGAACTTGTTTGGTAAACCATGAGAAAATCACTTATTGTTAAAAATTGTTGAGAGAAAGCTTTAAAGGAAAGCTGGTACCAACATCAAGTTTAACAAAATATTTACCAAACACCAATAGTTTCTCTCACAGCTGATTTATCTCACAGCAAATTTAACAGCGATTATTTTCACAGCACATCAATGCCAAACTGGGCACATAATCCAACATTAGAAACATCACCCCTCAAAATTTATAATCCCTAAAAAAAACTCCTCTTATATCCACACTTTGAGCAAACCATTACTAGCCTCAAAATTTTCCTGAAACTGGCAACAAAAAAGTCATCAAACACTCTCTTCTTCTTCTCTCACCCTTCTTCAGCCTGAATAACCACATTAAAGCCAAAATTGAATAACATAAACCATGATAATATATATTTTTGTGCCATATTTGGAAAATGGGCCAAAGTTAGTTTGTTTTCAAATAAGATTACATGTTTCTAAAAATTACAATTTTGCCCCTATAAGTATTTTGATTGCATTTTTCTCATTATAACTCCGATTTGAGCCCCTACGTGTCTACAGACTTGTCTCAACGTGATCTACACAACGATACAATCGAAATTTTCAAATTCCTTCCTGAATAAAAAGTCAACTTTTAAACCATTAAAATATTTGGGGGTAAAATTGTCTTTTTATTTGAATAAATTAATAATTAAATATTAATTTATGTTCGGGCTATTACACACGTACCATGTGGGTTTGAACCCAATACTACTTAAGAGCACACCAAAACACATGGAGCAATCAAATGACACTCCATTGGTAAATATAAGTTGTGTTGTGTTGAGTTCCTTGAGTTAGGTTAGTATTCGAAATTATATATATTAGGATTCAAATAAAAAAAAAAAAAAAAAAAAAAAAAAAAAAAAAAAAAAAATATTTTATAAAAGAAAACAAAAAGATCCATGGGGGAGTAGAAAGCAAAGAGCGCGGCCTTTAGAATTTTCCAATAGTTCAACCCAACGAAACACGCATATCACAAAGAACTTTCTGCCGCGGCATCCCCAAACTCTAAATTCCCCTTTGCCTCAATTTATGCATTCCGTTAGCAGTGGCCCTATCCATCTCATGGGGGATCGGAATATATCTCGACCTTCCGCCCCTGAGCTCACTTCGGGTCATATGTTCAGGACCATGACTTGACGATGGCCGAATACAAGGTAAAGGCGATGGAGGAAACTGTAACCGATTGGCCTATTTCATGAAATCAATGACGGAGGAGCTTTGCTTACTACGTGCCGGTAGTGCTAACACCAGTCGACCCAAAACGACGACGATTCCAAATGAGGATGAGGACCTTGACTTGAAGTTATCGGTGATGGAGAATCTCTAACCAAAGTGGTTGATTTTATTAAATCAGTGATGGAGGACATTCGCTTAGTACGTGCCATTATTGTTAACCCCAGTCGACCCAAAACGACGGCGATTCCAATGAGGATGTGGTCGTTAATCCTTACTCAAGGTCAGTTCTTAAATTTTTTTCTCTGTAAAATGTTGATGCTCTTGATTCGAGTTGTTTTTTTTTTCTTGTCTTGTTGTTGAGTATTCAAATATTCTTACTTGAAATAATAATCAGCTTCTTCTACTAGATAAATTCTCTCTACTTGTTTTTTGTTCGGCTATCTTGATGATTGAGCTGTTTTATTGCAACCTATGTTTTTTCTGAATCGGAATTTTTATTTTTTTTATTTTTTGCAATTCTGATCATTTTATATATTATAGAAATTGAAATTATCTTAAATCTTACTCTTTAATATTTAATGATGATGATCTACTCCTACACTTCTATTCGCAGTTTACAAAAAAAGGACAAGTTTATTTATTAGTATTGGCATTTTTAGGGTTTATTTGTATTATTCCTGTGTATGTATGCTTTCAAAGTATATGTTCCGGGCATTTTTAGGGAGCATGCACCAATGACAGTATATCAGGGGGAAGATAGATCTGTGATTCTGGTGGTGAGTTTATCCGATCAAAAGTACACTAATGTAATTTATGAAATTAAATTCAAAGGAGGAGATATGGTCGGAAGAGGTGCCAAAACCCCAGTACATAAACCTCTAGCCACGTTTTCTGATGATGGTTTCCTTAAGAGTGCAAGAATCCCTCCAATTTATACTTACTCCTAGTGGAGGATCCCTTCCGTGCCTACCCCAGTAACCCAAAGGGGGGACGTATTTTTGACATGAAGACTAGGTCATTGCTTAAGCAAACCATTCCTCGGACCAGTGCTTTGGACCAAGATGGATGTGCGGTTTCTGCCTATGAAAAGCTTTATTATTTTGCATCTCCAACATCTAGAAAACCATCCCTTGTGAGGTTGATCCTGATCAGGATGTTTGGGATCCAATGCCTCATTGTCCATTTTACAATGGCTATGAATCTCGTATGCGTATAATTGGTTATGCTGTTTATTATGGTGTTTTTGTTCTTTGCTTGTATGGTAACGACGACAGTTACGATGTCATTGCTTTTCACGAGACTAGAAAGGGAAAGGAATGGAATAAAGTGAACGTTGATTCTTGTGATGCTCCTTTCCAAGAAAGGGCTGTGGTTGTAGGCAAGTCTATCTATGCCATAAATATGCCTCGGAGGAGGAGATTGTAGCATTCTCCTTTGATATGGTTGAAGGTGATGGCGGTGATATTGAGTACTCACTGATAAAACAGTTTGTATTGCATGGCCTGCAGATTGAACAACCGCCATTTGAATTTTGTCTCGCAAGAAAACAGTTTTTGATTCATTTGGGAAACCATGACTTTTTTCATGTTAAGATTAGCCCTTGCGAATCAATTGTCCGGGTTCAATATGTATGTATCACTATGTTTCAAATTGTTGTTCAAGGAGGGGGACATATGATAAAGACCTTACATTCAACTGTTTTTTCCTCTGGACATGGAGGTTGTCGTTGGTTTGAGCTTATGTACTGCTTCACACCGTAAGTTTCCTTCAACTATCTTGTGTTTTAATCAATAATGTTAATTTGTATGTTGGGATTATGTTATATTTTGTATGTTATAGTACCCTTAATATATATGGTTTTTTATTATTATTATGACTCAGTGAGTGCGAGGATTATGAACCCAAGCAGATGACAAAGCCAACTAGGGAATAGCAGGCAAGAAGGAAGATGTAGACCCCAAGGTAGGATGACAAAGCCTATGTCTGTTGGTCATGTTTCCAACAATTGGGAGCTTCCTTTAAGCCAGCCCACAGTAGAATAATTCCACCTTGACTCCCCTCTACTAAAGAATACATGAATTTTGGGCACCTGCAGTAGCTGCAGGATGTGAACGAGATATCTTTATTTATTTTTTTTGGAGAAAAGAACTTGAATGGTTTCTTTTGTTGAACTGTTGGTCTCTGTATTGAACAGATTCTTTTGTTGCATGATTAGAGTACAAGTTTGGATGTTGGTAATTATGGGTTCATAATATGAACCAATTCCTTAAATTTACTACCAACACATTTGAACATCAAATTAGATTCAAGTCTGTTTCCATTGACCAAAAGCAAGAAGATAAAAATCTAAGGGGTTTCCAAAGTATGTGTCAACATAAAATTCACGTTGCAACTAAATTTTTATATCAACCCATATTTTTGTTGGTGCTAGGCTATTAGCGTTCTATTCTATAATCTAAATTGTTTTCTAATACTAGCTATTTTGGGTTGTATTTCCTCAAAGAGAGAGATAGCAGCAAATGAAATTCCAATAAATTAGGAATTTGTTGATTGACAGCGAACAACCAGAAAGCTCAATGGTCATTGCTTGTTTCTGTCTACAACTTAATAGCTTCAGTAATTCAATACCAATTTTCTTGTCAAGCATGCATGCACTACTACAAAATTGTTAAAGCGTGACACTAAAATTGTTGGCGAGTCCTTATCGGTTACTTATTTATTTATTTAGTCATATTATTATTGAGATTCATTTTTTATTGTAAATATTAACATGTGCCTTTTGTTTTGTGTGCCTGCGTGTACGTTTTTAGGTAAACAAGAAGCTAAAGCATATTCAAAGGATTTATCGACCTATTGTGGAAGGTAAGATGCCAACTTTGTTTTCCTACTTTCTTTTTACTAGAGTTTCAATTTTTTAAACTTTAAACTGATTGTCCTTCTCATATGAAAAATGAGGAGTTTCAATTTTTAAGCCTCCCATGATTCAGAAGCCTAACTCGTGTATTTATTTGGGACAGATTACTTGAGGAAACAGAAGATGAGGTGACTTAATTAATACTCTTTACTTTTTGCTATCAATAAAACAAATAATCAATGGTTGCATTGAGCATTAATACTTTTGTGTTCTTATTTTGAAATTGTTCTTGCAGTTGGCAGAATTGATAAAGAAAGGATCTGTAAGAGGAGGAGATGTAAGCAAGGTCTTATGTCAAGATCTGAGTGCACACTGTAGCAGGACAAGGTAAGGTTAATTCATCATAACATATAAATATCAATGAAAGTAAGTACATATTTTTACTGCTTCCCTCCCTGGCCCCCGAATCATGCAAAGACCAATCATGCCATGGTATCATGGATACTTGATCGATACACAACAGTTTTTATTTTTAAATTTACTTTTAACACTGGACCCTTTAGTTGAAAGGTTTTCATTACAGCAACTCAACCAGTTTCTAGAATTATGATTAATCCTGAGTCCTGACTTTGCGAATCAATCCACCAATTAGAACTTAGAGCATTACTTCTCCAGTCCAGAGCTATTCTGGGTTATGCTTTCCAGCAGGGTTCCCCTTTGTATAATACCCTGGAATTATTTATTGTGTCTGTCTGCAGTGCATCGCATCAGGGAAATGGATATGGTAATGGATCCGATGGAGAGCTCTGAGTTACCCACATTCACATACTTCACCAGCAAGAAGAGATAGCACAAACCAATTAACTTTTACTCAGAGTTTGGTCTGTTTAAGTTGTTATCAAGTGTTATGCCCAAGTGACTTGCTTATTCGGATGCCAGCAAATTTGGCTTCCAAACTTATGCGATGATGTACCAATTTGTTGTCAACTTATACAAGACTGATACAAGTTAAAGACACAGAACTAATGCATATTTCATAGAACTCAAATGGAGTTGGTTAATTTTTTCTTTTTTCTTTTTTCTTTTTTCTTTTTTTATTCATCACTTGTGTTCCTCATAGAGCCAACATTGGCATTTATGGCCCAAAAATTGATGGGTCTCCATTTCCAATCACCCAAGTCCCTCCTAAAAGCCCCTCCCCCTTCCCTAACACAGGAATACCAAAACCAAGGGGAAATCCCCTCCCTGAATAATGAGATTTCCCCACAGCAATATAAGTAGAATGAAACATTCTCCAGAACTCCTCGCAATCCAAGAAGAATGTGGGCCTTAAATAGATACTCATAAAATGAATCAACCCCTAAGTGCCTATTTGACATTGATTATTTGGAGTGATAAGTGATTTTTAAAAAATTCTGGAAGTCCAACCCGTTTGGTAAACCAGGAGAAAATCACTTATTGTTAAAAATTATTGTGAGAGAAAGCTATAAAGGAAAGAAGGTATAGAGCTGCTTCTATTTTCTGATTATACGGCAATCAGTTTGGAGAGGAACTAAAATTTAATGAAATTTTCATAATTCTAAAAATAACCCCATATATTTTCTGGCATAGAAACTGATTATTGTACCAATATCAAGTTTAACAAAATATCTACCAAACGCCAAACAGTTTTCTTTCACAGCAAATTTGACAAAGATTATTTTCACAGCACATCAATGAACTAGGCACATAATCCAACATAAGAAACATCACACCTCAAAATTTATAACCCCTAAAAAAAACTCCCCTTATATCCACACCTTGAGCAAACCATTACCAAACTCAAAATTTTCCGGAAACTGGCAACAAAAAAGGCATCAAACACTCTCTTAGCAAGAATGCAGAAGGTTGAGAGAAGAAAGAGAGTGTTTGATGCCTTTTTTGTTGCCAGTTTCCGGAAACCAAGAGAAATCATATTCTGACTGGTTGTCAAGCTACGAAAGAAGGACAAATCAAAGGGACATCCCTTGAAACCAGTATTTTCATCTAAAATATTCTTTCTCCTTCCTTTGGATCGACTCACGAGGACAAATCAGCAGCTGACTTTGGACAACACTCAAATATCATCCTCCAGCCTTCACCGTCGTCATTGGGGACTTTTGCCTATAAATATAGAGGCTCGACAGCAGCACAAGAGGACTCTCTCTCCAAAATCAGACGCAAAGCCTTGTAAACACTTGAACAAAACGTCAAGATTTTTCGAATAGCCAACTTGCTGCCCATATAATCAGTTGACAACTCCTGCACTTATTTTTTATTGCTATAGTTCTGGTTTCCTTCTCGGATTGCAAAAGACATGTTTTCCCTTGATGCATTTCTGACTTTTCTATTTCTTTTTGCGTTTGGGTTTTTGTCTGTATGCATGTTTTCTATCTCCTTCTTTTTCCCCCTATTTTTCTTCAGATAATTGAAAGGATATTTGTTGGATAAGCAACGTGTGAGTTGCAATAATCTTGGCTAGGGTGAATTCAGATGGGAAAGATGGTCTATTCAAAGAGTCTTTGGTATTGGAAGCCTACCTTGAGTCCTATGTAAAGATCACCATGAGTAGACCAATGTGGAAGACTACCCTGAGTATGTTGTTGGTAAGAACAACACGTTTAATGGTTAATTGATCAAATAAGTAAAATAAATTTCGTACTGGGTTATTGAATCAAATATCCGTTAACTTAACAAATCGAATATGGATTTGTTATCAATAGTCCACTAGATTAACCAATCAAATTGTTTTTTATTATTAGATCGGGTGTAGAAAATCAGCCTCGAACACATTCAAACAACCAATTTTATCTCTTGTTGTTAAGTTTTTTCAAATTTCATATGATTTTCAGTTAATAAAGGGTCAATTTGTAATTCCAAGTAAAATGATGGAAGTGGACACAAGTCACTGTTTATGGCTCACAAGTTGATTGAGGGGCGTAAAATAAATGAAGGCTGGACGACGTGAAACAAAAGTTACCTAGTATGATATGCCATATGATAAATGAGGCCTCACTTTTGATTATATTTCCTTGTTCAAAACAGTCGAAAGTTTAGACAGGAGGTCTCAGATTACATCATTTGTGTGTGTATGGTGTGAGAAATCTCCCTCCCTTCTAGTTTAAATTAACTTACAGATTTTATTTTTTTTAATAAAAAATAAAATTTATTAAACATGAGATATGTTCTTGCAACAGGGAACGACAAAACCTTGCCAAAACAAAATTACATCACCATTGAGACGTCTACCCATCATGACTTTGCACTCATCAACGCTCTTGGATTCTCCAAGTCTACTGACCATCCTCTTACGCCTCTTGGGTGTAATGCACCCAAACCCAAACTCACACCCATCATCCATCACATACATCTTAATCGCCTCCTTCAAATTATTCACCTTCTCTTCTTCTGTTGCCCCGTCAACGAACTTGTTGCAGCTCCAAAGGTGATATTTTGTCATCTCCATTTGCTCCATTTGTCCGTTAATTCAGTTCAATTCAATATACATTTTCTTCTTATGTATGGAAATGGAAGCACTAGTCCTTTTACACTATTATGCTTTCTCGTAAGAGCAAAGGTTATGGGGTTAACATATGACCACAATGACGCGTTGACCAAACGTGGTGTGTAAGTGGTACAAGTCTGGCAAGAGAATAGCAAGGTTTCTTTACTAGAAAATAACTGGGTTTTTACCTTGATCAGAACAGAACAGAACAGAACACACAAATATTAAGTAAGCTAGCAGCAGCTGCTGTTCACAAGTTTCTAAAGCTCACACACCAAAACAGATTATTACATATAGGGATATCCAAGCTTATTAAGCGTTGGTAATTAGTACTGAAGGAAATTAACAAAAATTAATTCAGGCCACGGGATAGTATATAGGGTCTGCAATAGGGTGAGGGCCAGGAGGATAAAGGCCGCAATGACAGAGATGATTGCCCATGGGGTAGAAAAATAGTCACGCCTCAATATTGCCATAAACTTGTGCCATTTAGTCTTGTAATACTTACGCACTTTTTCGGAGAGACCACTGTAGTTATACCCCACGACGGTGGTGTCATTGTAAAGCTTGTTGAAGAATTGGGCAGCATCCTCCGGGTTCAACCAATTGGCCAATATTCCTTTGTCACAAAGAAAATCTACGTCTTCTTTGGAGTCGATGAGGTTATCCATCAAAACAGCGTAGGATGTTATCTTGTGCTGGGGCCTGCGGTGGCATTGTTCAAAGGCGATGAGGTTCCTGAACAGAGGCCCTGTCCTCTCATCAATTCCCAGCACCGGAATTTTAAAAACCCCGTTTTTTTCATTGAACTCTATGTTCATTATGCACTCTCCCTTTATTTGGCTTTTGAACTTAATGCCTGCCTTCGAAAGAGATGTTGCGTTTGGGATCCGTTGAGGCAATTTTAGTTCTCTCTTTGTCTGCTGGTTTTCCACCGGCTCATTGGACGTCTCAGGGTCATTCGACGTCTCAGGGTTGTATCCATCAATGATCGCGGCTCTTACCAGATCAAGTATGTGCAAAATCTCATATTGGGGCATCGATTTGATGTTCAACATCAGCAAATCCGCCTCGGATTGGCTGAAAAAGTTGAGCACAAGTAAAGTGAGGGGGGCGCCTCTTTGGCTGGGGCTATTGGCAGTTAGGTTGTTCAAACACTCCAGCACAGACCACGGTAGCTGATTTTCTAGCAGCAGAAGGTCATGGTACAGATGTTCCCGCATGCAGGACACGTTGAAAATGGGGTCGGGCTCGGGATCCTTTTGTAGCACATACAAATATTCCTTTCGAAATAGTTCTAACAGGAAGCAACCGTCAAGTATCATCATTTCTACAAACTGTTCTCGATTGAGACCATCCAACGGGTCTGCATAACAGTCGCGGGCGCTTTTATACAACTCCATGATCATTTTTATCAAGCTCTCCAAACGTATATCCGTGGGTGAGGAGAGAAGGCATTGTAAAAACCACCGTTTCACATCTTCAAAGAATTTGAATTTTTTATCACGGCGGTGGCCATGGATATGGGTCCGATGGAGACAATGTTAGGTTCATAAGCCTCTACCTTTTGTCTCCGAATCACCTCGGGAACTCTGAAGATGCAGCACGAAGGAAGCAAGGGTGAATGGCTATGGCTACGAAGCATGTCTTCTATGGTGTTTTTCAAGCCTTCAACATTGGGTTCATCTTTTATATGAACAGACGTGCTCTCACCATCGACTATTTCTTTTCCTTTGTCACTTGTCATGACTGTAGATATATGCTTCCAATATCTGAATATAATTGTCCACAAATAATTAATGCTAAATTCTACAAGGTTTTTACCAATAATAATAATATAATAATAATAATAATGGCACAAAAT